CTCACTCCATCCACCAGCAGGGCTACGTGCACAGGTGAATAGGCCCCGCCCCCTCATCTCATCTTCACCCCGCCCCTGGACCTCTGACCTCTGACCCGACTCGCTCTGACTGTCGTCTCACCTGTCTCAAGGTCTCACTGGTCTCAGTCCTGGTCTCAGGTCTGTTTGGTCTCACTGGTCTCAGTCTCAGTCCTGGTCTCATCATCAGGTCTCAGGTCCTGGTCTCAGTCCTGGTCTGGTCTCAGTCTTCCTGGTCTGTGGTCTCAGTCCTGGTCTCAGTCCTGGTCTCAGTCCTGGTCTCAGGTCTGGTCTCAGTGGTCTCAGTCTGGTCTCAGGTCTGTCTCAGTCCTGGTCCTGGTCTCAGTCCTGGTCTCAGGTCTCAGTCCTGGTCTCAGTCCTGGTCTCAGTCCTGGTCTCAGTCCTGGTCTCAGTCCTGGTCTCTGGTCTCAGTCCTGGTCTCAGTCCTGGTCTCTGGTCTCAGGTCTCAGTCCTGGTCTCAGTCCTGGTCTCAGTCCTGGTCTCAGTCTGGTCTCATGGTCTCTGGTCTCAGTCTGGTCTCAGTCTGGTCTGTCTGGTCTCTGGTCTCAGTCTGGTCTCAGTCCTGGTCTCAGGTCTCAGTCCTGGTCTCAGTCCTGGTCTCTGGTCTCAGTCCTGGTCTGGTCTTGGTCTCAGTCTGGTCTCAGTCCTGGTCTCAGTCTGGTCTGGTCTCAGTCCTGGTCTCAGTCCCTGTGGTCTCAGTCCTGGTCTGGTCTCAGTCTGGTCTCAGTCCTGGTCTCAGTCCTGGTCTGTGGTCTCAGTCCTGGTCTGTCGTCTCAGTCCTGGTCTCTGGTCTCAGTCCTGGTCTGGTCTCAGTCCTGGTCTCAGTCCTGGTCTGGTCTCAGTCCTGGTCTCAGTCCTGGTCTCTGGTCTCAGTCCTGGTCTCAGGTCTCAGTCCTGGTCTCTGGTCTCAGTCCTGGTCTCAGTCTGGTCTGGTCTCAGTCCTGGTCTCTGGTCTCAGTCCTGGTCTCTGGTCTCAGTCCTGGTCTCAGTCCTGGTCTGTGGTCTCAGTCCTGGTCTGGTCTCAGTCCTGGTCTGTGGTCTCAGTCCTGGTCTCTGGTCTCAGTCCTGGTCTGTGGTCTGTGTTGTGTCTCAGGTCCAGTCCTCGGTTGCCGTGGGGACTCCGGACTACATTTCTCCTGAGATCCTTCAGGCGATGGAGGCGGGGCGCGGTCGTTACGGTCCGGAGTGTGACTGGTGGTCCCTGGGCGTCTGCGTCTACGAGATGCTCTACGGGGAGACGCCGTTTTATGCCGAGTCGCTGCTGGAGACATACGGCAAGATCATGAACCACCAGGTACCCCCGACCCCGACCCCGACCCCCCCCCTGACCCCCTGACCCCCCCCCTGACCCCCCCCCCCGACCCCCCCCCCTGACCCCCCCCACTGACCCCTGACCCCCCCCCCTGACCCCCCCTGACCCCCCCACTGACCCTGACCCCCCGAACCCCCGACCCCTGACCCCCCCGACCCTGACCCCTGACCCCCACTGACCCCCTGACCCCCCATCCTGACCACTGACCATGACCCCTGACCCCCCCCTGACCTCCCTGACCCTGATCCAGCTTTTGACAACTGACTTGACCATCAGTTTGACCCACTGACTAACTTCCACAGACTAACTAAACTAAGTGAAGATAAAAACTCCAGCTCTTGTGTCGCTGATGTGGTTCAACTTGTGTTGGATTAAAAGACATGACTCAGGTGAATACAGGTCAGTGTGACCAGATTTGTGTTTGTCAAAACCAGGACAGCGTACGGGGGGAGGGGGGCGGGGCCTCGTCATCCACATTGAGCGACTCTCACCTGGAAAAACTTTTTCCCACTGGACACAGAAACATATGTGCTGCTTTATCCACTGTGCACATGGACTCACACTTGTCCCAACGCAACGGAAAGTGTGGAATTTCTTCTACAAATCCTGGTTAAATCCACATTTGTGCTTCGGTTCGTTACAGACTGACCCACTGTTTGTGTCTCGCTCCTTCTGATGCAGAGACACATGTACACACCTGTTTGGTCACGACACACACACATACATTCAGTTTGTCCAGTAAAATCAACGGAATCCATGAAATTCTTAATGATCAATTATCGATTCATCGATTAATCCTGCCCATCCCTAGTTCAGAGTTTGTCCAGATCAGAAAAACAGAAAACGGCTCCACAGAGAATTTTACCCCTGAACCACTGTAAATATTTTTCACACACGTTTGGCACCTTTTTGTTTGTTTGTTTTTTTGCCCTGTTGAACAGTAAAGCCCCAAAAACACATTTCCCGACTCAGCCGGAGTTTCTGGAAAATTCTGTATCAAATTCTTCATAACACGACGATAATCCCCAAACATTTCACTTTTTATTTTATGCAGAGATTCAAAGATACAAAACTTTTCCAAATTGTAATTTTCATTTTTCCAAAATGTGTCACATCAAAAGCTCAGCTCTGCCCGATCCTCCTCCAGACCGGGTCCAGATCCTCCTCCAGACCGGGTCAGATCCTCCTCCAGACCGGGATCCTCCTCTAGATCAGATCCTCCTCCAGACCGGGTCAGATCCTCCTCCAGACCGGGTCGGATCCTCCTCCAGACCGGGTCAGATCCTCCTCTAGTCCGGCTCGGATCCTCCTCTAGTCCGGCTCGGATCCTCCTCTAGTCCGGCTCAGATCTTCCTGTAGACCGGATCAGAACTGCTCCTTTATCCTCGTCTAGACCGGTTGAGATCCTGGTTAAACCGCTCGGTGTCTTTTTTGGGGTTTTGTTTCTGGGTCTCTGGTCCCGTGGCTCTTGGCCCAGTTTGGTCTAAATGTGGACTGGAGCAGGTCCGGTCTCTCTGGACCCCGGTCTGGTTCTGATCTGGGTCTGGACTTAAACGGGTCTCGGTAACATGAAGGTGTTTGAGAACAGACCTGCAATTAAAGCCTCACTCTGTAACTTTCCTCAGTCTCCAACACCTTTGATCGACTCAAATGTGAAAAGTTTTTTTTAAGCTCAGATCTTTTCTCCTCAGACGTTTGTCCAGGTTCTCGTCGTTTCTTCTCTGAGCCTCTGAAGTTTGTTTGGACTGATTTGTGTTTGAGAAGCGCAGACGTACAGGAAACACGACGGGGGCTGGAGTAAAACTCTGGTCTTCAGTTGGTCTTTAGTTCGTGTTCTGATGTTCCTCACGTTCCTCACGTCCTCACGTTCCTCACGTTCCTCACGTTCCTCACGTTCTTCATGTTCTCTGTTCTCCTCAGGATCGTCTGGTTTTCCCGTCTCACGTCTCCGATGTCTCCGATTCTGCTCGAGACCTGATCCAGCGTCTGCTCTGCCCCCGAGAGTCCAGACTGGGCCTCCGAGGAATCCAGGACTTTAAAGTGAGTCTGACCCCCCCGAGTCTGACCTCTAATTTATTACGAACAAAAATAATTTAATTCCGAATAATTTTAAAAAAAATTTATAAAAAAAAAATAAAAAATTTAAATAAAAAAAAAAAATTAAAAAATTTCAGAATAAAAATAATTTAATTCAGAATAAAAAAATATTTAATTGAGAATAAAAATTATTTAATTGAGAATAAATTTTTTTTAATTCCAAATAAAAAAATATTTTATTCTGAATAAAAATTATTTCATTCCAAATAAAAATTATTTCATTCTGAATAAAACTGTATTCCTCATTAAAAAGTCCATGTAAACACTTATTTCTTAATGAACTAACTGTGAATTCATCTTAATTTCTTCTGATGTTAGATGTGAGTGAGTTTGTTTGGTGAATCGTGTTTGTGGTTTGTTGTTGTTAAAATGCTGCTGATGCTTCATGTTCCTCGTGTCGTTCGTCTGACGCGTTGATCCGACTCCACCAATTATCAGAACCACTGGAGGAAAAGTTTGGATGGTGTTTGTGTCCGTGGACGAACTACAAACCGAGATGACAGAAAAAAAAAATTATTTCCATTAAACTCCAAGGAGAAGATTTTAATTCAGAACAATTAATAAGTATAGAATAAAAAACACTGTGTAAACGTGGAGACGGTTGACGTCGCACTGGGAGAATTCTGTTCAAAATTTTGACACAAACACATTTTTCTGGCACTTTAAACCTGATTTCAACAAAATAAAGGTGGTGTTTATATTTATATTTGTCACATGATCGTCTCTGGGACGTTCGGCGAGTTTGGGCCTCGTGGTCGCTATGGTAACGGAGCGATGTCACGTCAAGTTTTGGAGCAAATCTTTACAAAAGAACAGTAAATGTGTCTGGTCCATGTGTGTCTGGTTCACGTGTGTCTGGTTCACGTGTGTGGTCACGTGTGCCTGGTTCACGTGTGTCTGGTTCACGTGTGTCTGGGTCCGTTTCAGGATCACCCGTTCTTCTCCGGGATCGACTGGGACCGGATCCGGACGATGGCGGCTCCGTACATCCCTGAAGTCTCCTCCCCCACGGACACGTCCAACTTCGACGTGGACGACGAGACGCTCAAGAACCCAGTAAGACCCGGACCAGAACCGGACCTGGACCTGGACTGGACATGACATGGACTCAACCTTTAGTTTAGACCTGGTTTAGACCTGGTTTAGACCTGGTTCAGTCTTGGTTTAGACCTGGTTTAGACCTGGTTTAGACCTGGTTTAGACCTGGTTTAGACCTGGTTCAGACCTGGTTTAGACCTGGTTTAGACCTGGTTTAGACCTGTTTTAGACCTGGTTTAGACCTGGTTCAGTCCTGGTTTAGACCTGGTTTAGACCTGGTTTAGACCTGGTTTAGACCTGGTTCAGTCCTGGTTTAGACCTGGTTTAGACCTGTTTTAGACCTGGTTTAGACCTGGTTCAGTCCTGGTTTAGTCCTGGTTTAGACCTGGTTCAGTCCTGGTTTAGACCTGGTTTAGACCTGGTTTAGACCTGGTTTAGACCTGTTTTAGACCTGGTTTGGTTCTTTTTTCAGGAGGTCTCGGCTCCTGTGGCTCTCAGCAGTTTTTCGGGGCAGCAGCTTCCCTTCGTGGGCTTCACCTACACCTGTCCGAGTGGGCGTGGCCTGAGCCCGGCAGGTGTGACGGGTGTGACAGGTGTGACAGGTGAGGGCGTGTCCCGGGGGGCGGAGCTCGAGCAGAAGATCCAAAAACTGGAGCGAGAGAAACAGGAGCTGCACCAGAAACTGTCAGGTGAGACTCCGGACACCAGGGGGCAGCGTCTCCACCAGCCCAACGCCGTGAGACGCTCAACAAAATCACGAATACTGAAAATCGAGTTTGGAACGAGTGAAAAATGATTTTATTAAACTTCCTTGATTAGAAACTGTTCTAAATCCCAAAATCGTGAATTGAGCCTGGATCCGAAATGTATTATTATTATTATTATTATTATTATTCATAAGGTTAAACAGGCCTGTAACACATGTGTCTCTCTTTCTCTGCTTCTCTCTTTTTCATTCTCTATTTCTGTCTTTTTTTGCTTTTTTGCTCTTTTTCTCTTCCTCTCTCTCTCCCCCGCTCTCTATTTCTCTCCCTTTTTACTCTTTTTTTTGTCTTTCCTTCTACTTCTTTTTCTCTTCTCTCTCTCTCTTCTACTCTTGTTTTTTTCTTTCTCTCTTTTTTACTTTCTCTCTATTTCTTTTTCTCTCTTTCTTTCTCTTTCTCTCCGTCTCTTTTTGTGGTTGTAGAGTTTTCTCAGCCTCAGTCTGGAGTTTTGTCTCGAGAAAAAGAGATTAAAAAACTCAACGAAGAAATCGAGCGCCTCAAGAAGAAACTGTCAGGTCAGATTCTCTTCTCTGATTGGTCCATTTTACTCCTCCCCTTCTCTGATTGGTCCATTTTAAACTCCTCCTCTTCTCTGATTGGTCCGTTTAAACCCCTCCTCTTCTCTGATTGGTCCGTTTAAACCCCTCCTCTTCTCTGATTGGTCCATTTAAACCCCCGCAGACTCTGATAGGCTGGAGAAGCAGCTGGAGGAGGCGGTGTCTCTGCGTCAGGACGAAAGCTCCGCCTCCAAACTGCGAGCGCTCGAGCGACAGGTGAAGAGTCTGAGACAAGAGAAAGAGGACGCCCACAAGGTACTGACCTCTGACCTCTGACCTCTGACCCTCTGACTTCTGACCCTCTGACCTCTGCCCCTCCCTCTTTTTTTTTTCTTTCTCTCTCTTTTTCTCATTTTCTTTTTCTTATTCTCTTTTTCTTTCTCTCTGCTTCTTCTTCTTCTTGGAGACCTGCACCTGCCCAGCACCTGGACTGAACCAGGACTGAACCAGGACTAACCCAGGACTGAACCAGGACTGAACCAGGACTAAACCGGGACTAACCCGGGACTAACCCGGGACTGAACCGGGACTGAACCCGGGACTGAACCGGGACTGAACCGGGACTGAACCGGGACTAAACCGGGACTAAACCGGGACTAAACCGGGACTAAACCGGGACTAAACCAGTCTTGGACACTGTGTGCTTTCGTCGTTTTTTAGTTGACTTATTTTGAAAGGGCATCGGAAGTTTATTTTGACACCGCGTGTTTATTTCCCGTCTTTCCACTGATAAAAACCTTGGAGACAAAAACATTAAAAGTCCATCCTCTTGGGCAGCGTCAGACGGTGGTTGGACGTGTTTATGATGGTCAGAGCGGGTCAAAGGGAAACTAAACCTTTCATGTGAGTTGGGGTTCTGGATCACGTCTGACCCTCTTCTTCTTCCTCTTCTTCTTCCTCTTCTTCTTCTTCTCGTCCACAGCAGCTGCAGGAGTCTCTGGAGCGAGTTCGCGCTCAGTCGAAGGAGCTGCGTGACGTTCACAAACTGCGTAAACAGGCCGTGTCGGAGCTTTGTGACGTGTCCCAGACTCTGGAGCAGCTGCGAAACAACGACAAGAGACTGAACCGGACCATCCGAGACCAACAGGAGGAACTACAGAGTCTGCAGAGAGCGGCGCAGGACAGCAGAGGACTGCAGGCCCGAGTCAGAGAGGTCAGGACCGAGACCGGGACCGAGAGGAGCGAGACCGGGACTAGGACTGAACTGCGACTAGAAAAGGACTGAACCAGGCATAAACCCATTCTAAACCTGGTATAAACCTGGTCTAAACCTGGTCTAAACCAGGTCTTAATGTGGTCTAAACTCCATCCAAACCTGGTCTAAAGCTGGTCTAAATCTGGTCTAAACTTGGTCTGAACCTGGTCTAAATCCGGTCTAAACTTGGTCTGAACCTGGTCTAAATTCGGTCTAAACCCCATCTAAACCTGGTCTAAACTTGGTCTAAACTCGGTCTAAACTCGGTCTAAACCAAAACCAGGTCTAAACCAGGTCTAAACCAGGACTAAACCAGGACTAAACCAGGACTAAACCAGGACTAAACCAGGACTAAACCAGGACTAAACTGGTCTAAATCTGGTCTAAACCAGGACTAAACTTAGACTAAACTCGGTCTAAACCAGGACTAAACTTGGACTAAACTCGGTCTAAACCTGGTCTAAACCCGGCCTTGTAGATGATGTAGTTCTGTTGTGTTGCAGTTGGAGGCGCTGTTGGACGAGTCGCGCTCTGAGGCTCAGAAAGAGAAGAAGCTCCGAGAAAACAGCGAAGCGTTTGGACGAGAACTGCAGAGCGCCAAGGTACAAGTACTACAGTAATACTACAAGTACTACAGTAATACTACGAGTACTACAGTAATACTACGAGTACTACTACGAGTACTACAGTAATACTACGAGTACTACGTGTACTACTACTACCTCTACTGCTGCTGAGCAAAAGTGCTTTAAGTGTCATGTCTGTGTTTGATCCAATCAGACTCAGGGGGCGGAGCTTGACCCGGCTCAGGGGGCGGAGCTGCGGCAGCTGAAGGCGGAGCTCGATCGCACTCTGGCCAATCAGGAGGAGCTGCAGCGCCGAGACTCCGCCCACTGTGCAGAGATCAAAGACCTGCGCTCCCAGCTCCACCAATCGGAGAGCGCACAGCTGTCGGCCAATCAGGAGCTGCGCAGCCTGAGGGAGCGGCTGGAGCTGGCCAATCAGGACAGGTCTGTGCAGCCGCCATTTTAAGACACAATCACGACACTAAGACAAAAAACAAAACAAAATGACTGAACTGGGAAAACAAATGTGAATATTTTTTGCTAAAATCTTTAATATAGTGATCTTTAAAGGTGTAACTTTTCTAGTGGTAGTTTGTGTTTTCAGACTGTAGATTGTGTTTTTAGACTGGAGTTTGTGTTTTTAGACTGTAGTTTGTGTTTTTAGATTGTAGTTTGTGTTTTTAGACTGTAGTTTGTGTTTTTAGACTGTAGTTTGTGTTTTCAGACTGTAGTTTGTGTTTTCAGACTGGTAGTTTGTGTTTTTAGACTGGAGTTTGTGTTTTTAGACTGGAGTTTGTGTTTTTAGACTGTAGTTTGTGTTTTTTGACTGTAGGTGGAGCTGTAGTTTGTGTTTTTAGACTGGAGTTTGTGTTTTTAGACTGGAGTTTGTGTTTTTAGACTGGAGTTTGTGTTTTTTGACTGTAGGTGGAGCTGTAGTCTGACTTTGTTCTTGTTCTCAGACAAAGTGACCTGGAGGAGGCGCTGTCGGCTCTGAAGGACAAACATGAGAGAGAGAAGAGTCTGCTGAGCGAAGAGAACCGAAAACTCACCTCCGAGTCCGACAAGGTGTATGCCCCTGTCTGCCCCTGTCTGCTCCTGTCTGCTCCTGTCTGCTCCTGTTTGCTCCTGTCTGCTGCTCTTGTTTGTTTTTGCTCCTTCTTACTCGCTTTACCTGTGTTCTGATATTCTTCTGATGTTCTGATGTTCTCGTTCTAGCTGTGTTCTCTCTGTGTTCTGACGTTCTCATGTTCTGGTTCTTTCTGTGTTCTCTCTGTGTTCTGATGTTCTCATGTTCTGGTTCTTTCTGTGTTCTCTCTGTGTTCTGACGTTCTCATGTTCTGGTTCTTTCTGTGTTCTCTCTGTGTTCTGATGTTCTCATGTTCTGGTTCTTTCTGTGTTCTCTCTGTGTTCTGACGTTCTCATGTTCTGGTTCTTTCTGTGTTCTCTCTGTGTTCTGACGTTCTCATGTTCTGGTTCTTTCTGTGTTCTCTCTGTGTTCTGACGTTCTCATGTTCTCGTTCTAGCTGTGTTCTCTCTGTGTTCTGACGTTCTCATGTTCTGGTTCTAGCTGTGTTCTCTCTGTGTTCTGACGTTCTGATGTTCTGGTTCTAGCTGTGTTCTTTCGTGGATCGTCTGACGGAGCAGAACCGGCAGCTGGAGGAGGAGCTTCAGGAGCTCTCGTCCAAAAAGGAGAGCGTGAGTCACTGGGAGGCTCAGATCGCCGAGATCATCCAGTGGTACGTCCAGGACCGCACCTGACGCGGGGGGAGGGGGGGGGCGCCTGACGCGAGGGGGGGCACCTGACGCGGGGGGGGGGGCACCTGACGCGAGGGGGGGGGCACCTGACGCGGGGGGGGAGGGGGGGGCCTGACGTGGGGGGGGGGGCCTCATGAATCAGTCGTTGGTTTGTTTTTATGTTTTATCCACAAATGAAAATTTTATATTTGTCACTTGTATTTTATTTTTTACAAATAGATGTGGATTTGAAAGTTTATATTTTTTCATTTGTAAAAACAAAACAAAACAGACAAAAAAAATCCAACATGTTTGTGCATCATGTGGTGTCTGCACCAGTGCTGCCCTCTAGTGTCTCTGTGAGTCTGTGCGTCTGTTTGTGGATTTGACTAAAACAAAATCTCAAAAAAACATCACAGAGAAAAACTGTCAATCACATTTACAAACACAATTTACACTTTTACATATGATTTTCTTTTCTTTTTTTTTGTGAATGAAAAAAGATACATTTACAAATCCACATCTATTTGTAAAAAACAAAATACAAGTGACAAATATTAAATTTGTATTTGTGGATAAAAACAAGAACAAACCAACGACTGATTGTGTCAAACTCTGAGTTTATGAAGATGAATAAACTGTTTTTCAGGGTGAGTGATGAGAAAGACGCTCGTGGTTACCTTCAGGCTCTGGCGTCTAAAATGACGGAGGAGCTGGAGTCTCTGAAGACGACGAGTCTGGGCCCCCGGAACATGGTACGAGTACTACAAATACTACCAATACTACTTCTACTGCAAATACCACTGCAAATACTACTGTAAATACTACTGTAAATACTACTACCAATACTACTTCTACTGCAAATACCACTGCAAATACTACTGTAAATACTACTACTGCAGATACTATGATTAGAAACACTGTAGAGTTTGTAGTTTTAGTTGAATTGAAGCAGAGTCCAGCAGAGGGCGCTCTCATATCAACATATACACATGAGGCTGTGGTGGAGATCCTGGGCTCATCCACTCAACAGGGCAGATATCGATCCGATATATCGGTGTGTCTCATGACACACAATACAATACAACACACACAGTACAACACACACAACACACACACAATACACACACACAATACAACACACACAATACAACACACACAATACAACACACACAATACACAACACACACAATACAACACATGGGGAAGACGAGATATGTGGACAGGAGCAGGCGACAGGAGCAGGCGACAGGAGCAGGCGACAGGAGCAGGCGACAGGAGCAGGCGACAGGAGCAGGCGACAGGAGCAGGCGACAGGAGCAGAGGAAGAACCACTGCAGCAGAACATGAGGAAAGGGAGAGAACAGCTCCAGAGCCGAGCTCCTGTCGGGGGAAACAGTCTGGAGAAAACGACAACGACAACGACAACACACATCAGAACAGACGCAGGACGTGTTGTTCTCTGTTGATCTCTGTTGTTCTCTGTTGTTCTCTGTTGTTCTCTGTTGTTCTCTCTGTTGTTCTCTGTTGTTCTCTGTTGTTCTCTCTGTTGTTCTCTGTCTGTGTTCTCTGTTGTTCTCTGTTGTTTCTCTGTTGTTTCTCTGTTGTTCTCTGTTGTTCTCTCTGTTGTTTCTCTGTTGTTCTCTGTTGTTCTCTGTTGTTCTCTGTTGTTCTCTGTTGTTCTCTCTGTTGTTCTCTCTGTTGTTCTCTGTTGTTCTCTGTTGTTCTCTGTTGTTCTCTCACGTTCCGGGTCGTTCCGTCAGGACCCCCTGTGGAAGGTGCGTCGTTCTCAGAAGTTGGACATGTCGGTTCGGTTGGAGCTGCAGTCGGCTCTGGACGCAGAGATCAGAGCCAAACAGCTGCTTCAGGAAGAACTACGGAAGGTCAAGGGTCACTGCGCCGGGCTGGAGAGGTCAGGGGTCACGCCGGGGTCACAGTCATCATCATCATCACCATCACATGACCTCTGACCTCTGACCTCTGTGTTTCAGTAAAGTCAAAGATCTGGAGGAAAAGTCCAAACAGACTCAGGACCAACTGGAGACTCTACAGAAAGAACTGGACCAGAACCGGACCAGCTCAGGTCTGTACGCCCCTGGAGAGTCCGGGTTTAGTCCTCCTTTAGTCCTGGTTTAGTCCTGGTTTAGTCCTGGCTTAGTCCTGGCTTAGTCCTGGCTTAGTCCTGGCTTAGTCCTGGTTTAGACCTGGTTTAGTCCTGGTTTAGTCCTGGTTTAGTCCTGGCTTAGTCTTGGTTTAGACCTGGTTTAGTCCTGGTTTAGTCCTGGCTTAGTCTTGGTTTAGACCTGGTTTAGACCTGGTTTAGTCCTGGTTTAGTCCTGGTTTAGTCCTGGCTTAGTCCTGGCTTAGTCTTGGTTTAGACCTGGTTTAGTCCTGGTTTAGTCCTGGTTTAGTCCTGGTTTAGTCCTGGTTTAGTCCTGGTTTAGACCTGGTTTAGTCTGGTTTAGACCTGGTTTAGTCCTGGTTTAGTCCTGGTTTAGTCCTGGTTTAGTCCTGGCTTAGTCTTGGTTTAGACCTGGTTTAGTCCTGGTTTAGACCTGGTTTAGTCCTGGTTTAGTCCTGGTTTAGTCCTGGTTTAGTCCTGGCTTAGTCTTGGTTTAGTCCTGGTTTAGTCCTGGCTTAGTCTTGGTTTAGACCTGGTTTAGTCCTGGTTTAGACCTGGTTTAGTCCTGGTTTAGTCCTGGTTTAGTCCTGGTTTAGTCCTGGCTTAGTCTTGGTTTAGTCCTGGTTTAGTCCTGGTTTAGTCCTGGCTTAGTCTTGGTTTAGTCCTGGCTTAGTCTTGGTTTAGACCTGGTTTAGTCCTGGTTTATTCCTGGTTTAGTCCTGGTTTAGTCTTGGTTTAGACCTGGTTTAGTCCTGGTTTAGTCCTGGTTTAGTCCTGGTTTAGTCTTGGTTTAGACCTGGTTTAGTCCTGGTTTAGACCTGGTTTAGTCCTGGTTTAGTCCTGGTTTAGTCCTGGTTTAGTCCTGGTTTAGTCCTGGTTTAGTCTGGTTTAGTCCTGGTTTAGTCCTGGTTTAGTCCTGGTTTAGTCCTGGCTTAGTCTTGGTTTAGACCTGGTTTAGTCCTGGTTTAGTCCTGGTTTAGTCCTGGTTTAGTCCTGGTTTAGTCCTGGTTTAGTCCTGGTTTAGTCCTGGTTTAGTCCTGCTCTGATCCTGTGGTCTTCCTCAGGTCTGAATCTGGACTTTCAGGATTCTCTGTTCGAGTATTTCAACACGTCTCCTCTGGCGCCGGAGCTCAGCTTCAAAGTGAGTCAGAACCAGAACCAGAACCTCTCCATGTTCTACTGTTCCTCCTGTTCCTCATGTTCTACTGTTCCTCATGTTCCTCCTGTTCCTCATGTTCTAATGTTCCTCCTGTTCCTGATGTTCTACTGTTCCTCCTGTTCCTCATGTTCCTCATGTTCTACTGTTCCTCCTGTTCCTCATGTTCCTCCTGTTCTAATGTTCCTCATGTTCTAATGTTCCTCATGTTCTAATGTTCCTCCTGTTCCTCATGTTCTAATGTTCCTCCTGTTTCTCATGTTCTAATGTTCCTCCTGTTCCTCATGTTCTACTGTTCCTCCTGTTCCTCATGTTCTACTGTTCCTCATGTTCCTCCTGTTCCTCATGTTCTAATGTTCCTCCTGTTCCTCATGTTCTAATGTTCCTCCTGTTCCTCATGTTCTACTGTTCCTCATGTTCCTCCTGTTCCTCATGTTCTAATGTTCCTCATGTTCTAATGTTCCTCCTGTTCCTCATGTTCTAATGTTCCTCCTGTTTCTCATGTTCTAATGTTCCTCATGTTCCTCATGTTCTAATGTTCCTCATGTTCCTCATGTTCCTCGTCTCAGACCTTCAGACGTTGGAGCTGTCTTCCTTGTTTGAGTAATCTAGTGATCTCTCCTGGGCCCTGTTAAACGTTCTTTGTTTTTTTTCTCTGATCTTTTGTCTCAGCCATCGGACCTGGACTCCTCCCCCAAAGAGGCCACGCCCCCCTCACCTGCTGCCTCACCTGAGCAACAGGAAGTGACATCACAGCCTGTCCCAGAAAGACCCGCCCCCTCCGCCACAGGCCACACACCCCTCCAGGTACGAGCCGCGTCACCTCCCGACCTCTGACCTGAGCCCTCTGACCTGAGCCCTCTGACCTGAGCCCCCTGACCTGAGTCCTCTGACCTGAGCCCCCTGACCTGAGCCCCCTGACCTGAGTCCTCTGACCTGAGCCCTCTGACCTGAGCCCTCTGACCTGAGTCCTCTGACCTGAGCCCCCCGACCTGAGCCCTCCGACCTGAGCCCCGACCTGAGCCCCCCGACCTGAGCCCCCTGACCTGAGTCCTCTGACCTGAGCCCTGACCTGAGCCCCCCCGACCTGAGCCCCCCGACCTGAGCCCCCGACCTGAGCCCCCGACCTGAGTCCTCTGACCTGAGCCTCTGACCTGAGTCCTCTGACCTGAGCCCCTCTGACCTGAGCCCCCCGACCTGAGCCCCCCGACCTGAGCCCCCGACCTGAGCCCCCGACCTGAGCCCCCTGACCTGAGTCCTCTGACCTGAGCCCCCCGACCTGAGCCCCCCGACCTGAGCCCCCTGACCTGAGTCCCCTGACCTGAGTCCCCTGACCTGAGCCCCCTGACCTGAGCCCCCTGACCTGAGCCCCCTGACCTGAGCCCTCTGACCTGAGTCTCTTGTGTGTTTCAGCCTCGCGCTCATCAGCTCAGCATCAAAACGTTCAGTTCTCCTCCTCAGTGCAGCCACTGCAGCGCGATCATGACCGGACTCACACGCCAGGGCTACGGCTGCGAGGGTCAGACCTGATCTAGACCTGATCTAGACCTGGTTTACATCTTCTTTGGTCCTGGTTTAGTCCTGGTTTAGTCCTGGTTTAGACCTGGTTTAGTCCTGGTTTAGTCGTGGTTTAGTTCTGGTTTAGTTCTGGTTTAATCCTGGTTTAGTCCTGGTTTAGTCCTGGTTTAGTCCTGGTTTAGTTCTGGTTTAGTCCTGGTTTAGTCCTGGTTTAGTCCTGGTTTAGTCCTGGTTTAGTTCTGGTTTAGTCCTGGTTTAGTCCTGGTTTAGTCCTGGTTTAGTTCTGGTTTAGTCCTGGTTTAGTTCTGGTTTAGTTCTGGTTTAGTCCTGGTTTAGTCCTGGTTTAGTTTCTGGTTTAGTCCTGGTTTAGTTCCCTGGTTTAGTCCTGGTTTAGTTCTGGTTTAGTCCTGGTTTAGTTCTGGTTTAGTCTGGTTTAGTCCTGGTTTAGTCCTGGTTTAGTTCTGGTTTAGTCCTGGTTTAGTTCTGGTTTAGTCCTGGTTTAGTCCTGGTTTAGTTCTGGTTTAGTCCTGGTTTAGTCCTGGTTTAGTTCTGGTTTAGTCCTGGTTTAGTCCTGGTTTAGTTCTGGTTTAGTCTGGTTTAGTTCTGGTTTAGTCCTGGTTTAGTTCTGGTTTAGTTCTGGTTTAGTCCTGGTTTAGTCCTGGTTTAGTCCTGGTTTAGTTTAGTCCTGGTTTAGTCCTGGTTTAGTCCTGGTTTAGTTCTGGTTTAGTCCTGGTTTAGTCCTGGTTTAGTTCTGGTTTAGTCCTGGTTTAGTCCTGGTTTAGTTCTGGTTTAGTCCTGGTTTAGTCCTGGTTTAGTTCTGGTTCTGACGTGTTTGTTTTGTGTGTTTCAGTTTGTTCCTTCGTGTGTCATGTGACCTGCAGAGACCACGCCCCTCAGATCTGTCCAATCCCGTCGGAGCTGCGGCCGGCGGGCGTCGACGTGCAGAGGGGCATCGGGACCGCCTACAAGGGCTACGTCCGGGTGAGTCCAGGTCCGGTCCTGACCCGGTCCTAATGTGGTCCAGGTCTGGTCCTGACCCGGTCCTGATGAGGTCCTGATCTGGTCCTGACCCGGTTCTGACCCGGTCCTGACCCGGTCCTGACGCGGTTCTGACCCGGTTTTGACCTGGTTCTGACCTGGTTCTTGTGCAGGTGCCGAAGCCCAGTGGGGTGAAGCGCGGGTGGCAGAGGGTCTGGGCCGTCGTCTCCGACTGTCGTTTGTTTTTCTACGATGTTCCAGAAGGAAAAACCACCCAACCTGGAAACGCCGCCTCCCTCGTCCTGGACCTCAGGTACGTGGACCCTGGTGTGGACCTGGTGTGGACCCGGTGTGGACCCGGTGTGGACCCGGTGTGGACCCGGTGTGGACCCGGTGTAGACCCGGTGTAGACCTGGTGTAGACCTGGTGTGGACCTGGTGTGGACCTGGTGTGGACCTGGTGTGGACCTGGTTCTGTTCTTGTTTCAGGGATGAGTTCTTCTCCGTTTGCTCAGTGCTTCCATCTGATGTGATCCATGCTCCTCGGAAAGACGTGCCCTGCATCTTCAAGGTCCAGGTGGGTCCTGGTTTAGTCCTGGTTTAGTCCTGGTTTAGTCCTGGTTTAGTCCTGGTTCAGTCCTGGTTCAGTCCTGGTTCAGTCTTGTTTCAGTCTTGTTTCAGTCCTGGTCCTGACCCGGTTCTGGTCCGGTCTGTGTGCAGGTGGGGTCTCGTGAGTCCAGTCTGAGTCCGGTCTCGGTTCTGGTTCTGGCCGACTCGGAGCAGGAGCAGAGGAAGTGGCTGAAGGTTCTGGAAAGTCTCCACGTTCTGCTGAAACAGAACGGACTCCTGCAGACCCGAGTGCAGCGCCCCCTGGAGGTGTACGACCCCGCCCTGCCGCTCATCAAGAGTACTCTGAGCGCCGCAGTACTCGGTACTTTTACTATACTACTACTGTGTACTTATACTACTGTGTACTCATAAAGAGTACTCAGAGCGCCGCAGTACTCAATATTTTTACTACAATATACTTTTGCTACTGTGTACTTTTACTGGTCTGGGTCCTGGTCCGGGTCCTGGTCTGGGTCCTGGTCCTGGTCAGGTCCTGGACAGGTCCTGGTCTGGGTCCTGGTCTGGGTCCTGGTCAGGTCCTGGTCAGGTCCTGGTCAGGTCCTGGTCCTGGTCTGGGTCCTGGTCTGGGTCCTGGTCAGGTCCTGGTCTGGTCCTGGTCTGGGTCCTGGTCAGGTCCTGGTCTGGGTCCTGGTCTGGGTCCTGGTCCAGTCCGTGTCTAACGTGGTTGTGTTGGTTCTGTCAGATCGGGAGCGTGTGGTTCTGGGGACGGAGGAGGCTCTGTTCGTGGTGGAACTGACCCGAGACGGTGAGACTTTCACTTTCACTTTCACTTTCATAGAAACATTCAGAAATATTACACACTCTGGTTCTGTGTGGTTCCGTTGGTTCTGTGTGGTTCTGTTGGTTCCTTTGGTTCCGTTGGTTCTGACGGTTCTGTTCTGTTCCAGTGATCGTCCGGGCCTGCGACACTAAGAAGGTTCTGCAGGTGGAGCTGGTTCCTCGGGAGAACCTGCTGGTCCTGGTGTGCGGCAGAACCAAGCAGGTTCACCTTCAGCCCTGGCAGGTTCTGGACGGATCCGAGTCCAGTTTCGACGTCAAACTCACCGAGACCAAAGGCTGCCAGGCCCTGACCACCGGAACCCTGCGCCCGGGCGGAGCCTCCTGCCTGGTGACCGCCGCCAAGAGACAGGTGAGGCCCTGCCGCCAAGAGACAGGTGAGGCCCCGCCGCCAAGAGACAGGTGAGGCCCCGCCGCCAAGAGACAGGTGAGGCCCCGCCGCCAAGAGACAGGTGAGGCCCCGCCGCCAAGAGACAGGTGAGGCCCCGCCGCCAAGAGACAGGTGAGGCCCCGCCGACAGGTGAGACAGGTGAGGCCCGTGTGTGTGTGTATATAAAGGGAGAGGCCAAAGTATTCTGGTCTGAGTCTGGTCTCAGGTCTGGTCTGAGTCTGAGTCTGGTCTCTGGTCTGAGTCTGGTCTCTGGTCTGGTCTGGTCTCTGGTCTCTGGTCTCTGGTCTCTGGTCTCTGGTCTCAGGTCTGGTCTGAGTCTCTGGTCTGAGTCTCTGGTCTGAGTCTCTGGTCTGAGTCTCTGGTCTGAGTCTGGTCTGAGTCTGGTCTGAGTCTGGTCTCTGGTCTGAGTCTGGTCTCTGGTCTGAGTCTGGTCTCTGGTCTCTGGTCTCAGGTCTGGTCTGAGTCACTGGTCTGAGTCTCTGGTCTGAGTCTGGTCTGAGTCTGGTCTGAGTCTGGTCTGGTCTGGTCTCTGGTCTCTGGTCTGGTCTCTGGTCTGAGTCTGGTCTCTGGTCTGAGTCTGGTCTCTGGTCTGAGTCTGGTCTCTGGTCTGGTCTGGTCTCTGGTCTGAGTCTGGTCTAGTCTCTGGTCTGAGTCTGGTCTGGTCTGGTCTGGTCTCTGGTCTGAGTCTGGTCTAGTCTCTGGTCTGAGTCTGTCTAGTCTCTGGTCAGTCTGGTCCCTGGTCTCTGGTCTCTGGTCTCTGGTCTGGTCTCTGGTCTGGTCTCTGGTCTCTGGTCTCTCTGGTCTCTCTGGTCTCTGGTCTGGTCTGGTCTCTGGTCTCTGGTCTCTGGTCTGGTCTCAGGTCTGGTCTGGTCTGGTCTCTGGTCTCAGGTCTGGTCTCTGGTCTCAGGTCTGGTCTCAGGTCTGGTCTCTGGTCTCTGGTCTGGTCTGGTCTGGTCTGGTCTCTGGTCTCTGGTCTGGTCTCTGGTCTGGTCTGGTCTCTGGTCTGGTCTGGTCTCTGGTCTGGTCTCTGGTCTGGTCTCTGGTCTGGTCTGGTCTGGTCTGGTCTGGTCTCTGGTCTGGTCTGGTCTCTGGTCTGGTCTGGTCTGGTCTGGTCTGGTCTGGTCTCTGGTCTGGTCTCTCTGGTCTCTGGTCTCTGGTCTGGTCTGGTCTCTGGTCTCAGGTCTGGTCTGGTCTCTGGTCTCAGGTCTGGTCTCAGGTCTGGTCTGGTCTGGTCTCTGGTCTGGTCTCTGGTCTGGTCTCTGGTCTGGTCTCTGGTCTCTGGTCTCTGGTCTCTGGTCTCTGGTCTGGTCTCTGGTCTGGTCTCTGGTCTGGTCTCTGGTCTCTGGTCTGGTCTCTGGTCTGGTCTCTGGTCTGGTCTCAGGTCTGGTCTGGTCTGGTCTGGTCTGGTCTCTGGTCTGGTCTGGTCTCTGGTCTCTGGTCTGGTCTCTGGTCTCTGGTCTGGTCTCTGGTCTGGTCTGGTCTCTGGTCTGGTCTGGTCTGGTCTCTGGTCTGGTCTCTGGTCTCTGGTCTCTCTGGTCTGGTCTCAGTCTGGTCTGGTCTCTGGTCTGGTCTGGTCTCTGGTCTGGTCTCTGGTCTCTGGTCTCTGGTCTGGTCTCTGGTCTGGTCTCTGGTCTGGTCTGGTCTCTGGTCTGGTCTCTGGTCTGGTCTCTGGTCTCTGGTCTGGTCTCTGGTCTGGTCTGGTCTCTGGTCTCTGGTCTCTGGTCTCTGGTCTCTGGTCTGGTCTCTGGTCTGGTCTCTGGTCTGGTCTCAGGTCTGGTCTCTGGTCTCAGGTCTGGTCTCTGGTCTGGTCTCTGGTCTCTGGTCTCTCTGGTCTGGTCTCTGGTCTCTGGTCTCAGTCTGGTCTGGTCTCTGGTCTCTGGTCTGGTCTCTGGTCTCTGGTCTCTGGTCTCTGGTCTCTGGTCTCTGGTCTGGTCTCTGGTCTCTCTGGTCTCTGGTCTCTGGTCTGGTCTCAGGTCTGGTCTGGTCTCAGGTCTGGTCTCAGGTCTGGTCTCTGGTCTGGTCTCTGGTCTGGTCTCAGGTCTGGTCTCAGGTCTGGTCTCTGGTCTGGTCTGGTCTGGTCTCAGGTCTGGTCTCTGGTCTCAGGTCTGGTCTGGTCTGGTCTCAGGTCTGGTCTCAGGTCTGGTCTCAGGTCTGGTCTCTGGTCTCTGGTCTGGTCTGGTCTCAGGTCTGGTCTGGTCTGGTCTCAGGTCTGGTCTCAGGTCTGGTCTCTGGTCTGGTCTCTGGTCTCTGGTCTCTGGTCTGGTCTCTGGTCTGGTCTCTCTGGTCTGGTCTCTGGTCTCTGGTCTGGTCTGGTCTGGTCTGGTCTCAGGTCTGGTCTCTGGTCTGGTCTCAGGTCTGGTCTCTGGTCTGGTCTGGTCTGGTCTGGTCTCTGGTCTGGTCTCTGGTCTCAGGTCTGGTCTCTGGTCTGGTCTCTGGTCTCTGGTCTGGTCTCAGGTCTGGTCTCAGGTCTGGTCTCAGGTCTGGTCTCTGGTCTGGTCTCTGGTCTGGTCTGGTCTCTGGTCTGGTCTCTGGTCTCTGGTCTCTGGTCTCTGGTCTCTGGTCTGGTCTCAGGTCTGGTCTCTCAGGTCTGGTCTCAGGTCTGGTCTCTGGTCTGGTCTCTGGTCTCAGGTCTGGTCTCAGGTCTGGTCTCTGGTCTGGTCTGGTCTGGTCTCTGGTCTGGTCTCTGGTCTGGTCTCAGGTCTGGTCTCTGGTCTGGTCTCTGGTCTGGTCTCTGGTCTCTGGTCTGGTCTCAGGTCTGGTCTCTGGTCTGGTCTCAGGTCTGGTCTGGTCTGGTCTCAGGTCTGGTCTGGTCTGGTCTCAGGTCTGGTCTCAGGTCTGGTCTGGTCTCTGGTCTGGTCTGGTCTCTGGTCTGGTCTCTGGTCTGGTCTCTGGTCTGGTCTCAGGTCTGGTCTCAGGTCTGGTCTCTGGTCTGGTCTCAGGTCTGGTCTCAGGTCTGGTCTCTGGTCTGGTCTCTGGTCTGGTCTCAGGTCTGGTCTCTGGTCTGGTCTGGTCTCAGGTCTGGTCTCAGGTCTGGTCTCTGGTCTGATCTCTGGTCTGATCTCTGGTCTGGTCTCAGGTCTGGTCTGGTCTGGTCTCTGGTCTCAGGTCTGGTCTGGTCTCTGGTCTCTGGTCTCTGGTCTGGTCTCAGGTCTGGTCTGGTCTCTGGTCTCTGGTCTCAGGTCTGGTCTCTGGTCTCTGGTCTCTGGTCTCAGGTCTGGTCTCTGGTCTGGTCTCTGGTCTCTGGTCTGGTCTCTGGTCTCTGGTCTCAGGTCTGGTCTCTGGTCTGGTCTGGTCTCTGGTCTGGTCTCTGGTCTGGTCTGGTCTGGTCTCTGGTCTCAGGTCTGGTCTCAGGTCTGGTCTCTGGTCTGGTCTCTGGTCTCTGGTCTCTGGTCTCTGGTCTGGTCTCAGGTCTGGTTTCAGTCTGGTCTGGTCTCTGGTCTGGTCTCAGGTCTGGTCTGGTCTCTGGTCTGGTCAGGTCTGGTCTGGTCTGGTCTGGTCTCTGGTCTCTGGTCTCAGGTCTGGTCTCTGGTCTGGTCTGGTCTGGTCTCAGGTCTGGTCTCAGGTCTCAGGTCTGGTCTCAGGTCTGGTCTCTGGTCTGGTCTCTGGTCTGGTCTCTGGTCTCTGGTCTGGTCTCAGGTCTGGTCTCTGGTCTGGTCTGGTCTGGTCTCAGGTCTGGTCTGGTCTGGTCTCAGGTCTCAGGTCTGGTCTCAGGTCTGGTCTGGTCTGGTCTGGTCTGGTCTCAGGTCTGGTCTCAGGTCTGGTCTCTGGTCTCTGGTCACTGGTCTCTCTGGTCTCTGGTCTGGTCTCTGGTCTCAGGTCTGGTCTCAGGTCTGGTCTGGTCTCAGGTCTGGTCTCAGGTCTGGTCTCTGGTCTGGTCTCTGGTCTGGTCTCTGGTCTCTGGTCTGGTCTCTGGTCTCTGGTCTCTGGTCTCTGGTCTGGTCTCTGGTCTCTGGTCTCTGGTCTCTGGTCTCTGGTCTCTGGTCTCTGGTCTGGTCTCTGGTCTCAGGTCTGGTCTCAGGTCTGGTCTGGTCTCAGGTCTGGTCTCTGGTCTCTGGTCTCTGGTCTGGTCTCTGGTCTCAGGTCTGGTCTCAGGTCTGGTCTCAGGTCTGGTCTGGTCTGGTCTGGTCTCTGGTCTCTGGTTCTCTGGTCTCTGGTCTCTGGTCTGGTCTCTGGTCTCTGGTCTCTCTGGTCTGGTCTCAGGTCTGGTCTGGTCTGGTCTCTGGTCTCAGGTCTGGTCTGGTCTCAGGTCTGGTCTCTCTGGTCTCTGGTCTGGTCTCTGGTCTGGTCTCTGGTCTGGTCTCTGGTCTGGTCTCTGGTCTGGTCTGGTCTGGTCTGGTCTGGTCTCTGGTCTGGTCTCTGGTCTCAGGTCTGGTCTCAGGTCTGGTCTCTGGTCTGATCTCTGGTCTTGGTCTCAGGTCTGGTCTCTGGTCTCTGGTCTCTGGTCTCTGGTCTCTGGTCTCTGGTCTTGGTCTCAGGTCTGGTCTGGTCTCAGGTCTGGTCTCTGGTCTCTCTGGTCTGGTCTCTGGTCTGGTCTCTGGTCTGGTCTCAGGTCTCTGGTCTCTGGTCTGGTCTCAGGTCTGGTCTGGTCTCTGGTCTGGTCTGGTCTCTCTGGTCTGGTCTGGTCTGGTCTCAGGTCTCAGGTCTGGTCTCTGGTCTGGTCTCTGGTCTGGTCTCAGGTCTGGTCTCAGGTCTGGTCTCTGGTCTCAGGTCTGGTCTCAGGTCTTGGTCTCTGGTCTGGTCTCTGGTCTCTGGTCTCTGGTCTCTGGTCTCTGGTCTGGTCTGGTCTGGTCTCAGGTCTGGTCCTGGTCTCAGGTCTGGTCTCTGGTCTGGTCTCAGGTCTGGTCTGGTCTCAGGTCTGGTCTCAGGTCTGGTCTCTGGTCTGGTCTCTGGTCTCTGGTCTCTGGTCTCTGGTCTCTGGTCTGGTCTCAGGTCTGGTCTCAGGTCCTGGTCTCTGGTCTGGTCTCAGGTCTGGTCTCAGGTCTGGTCTGGTCTCTGGTGGTCTCTGGTCTCAGGTCTGGTCTGGTCTGGTCTCAGGTCTGGTCTCTGGTCTGGTCTCAGGTCTGGTCTCAGGTCTGGTCTCTGGTCTCAGGTCTGGTCTCAGGTCTGGTCTCAGGTCTGGTCTCTGGTCTCAGGTCTGGTCTGGTCTCAGGTCTGGTCTGGTCTTTCAGGTGCAGTGTTTTGAGCTGATGAGGTCCAAGCCGTTCTACCGGAGACTTTGGGAGGTCCAGGCTCCGGGTCCGGTCCAGTGGTTGGGGATGGTCCTGGACCGGATCTGCGTGGGTTTCCCGGGGGGTTTCGCTCTCCTGGCTCTTCAGGGAGAGTCCAGCCCCGTGTCTCTGGTCTGGCCCCAGGACCCCAGTCTGGTCTTCCTGTCGCAGACGCCCCTGGACGCGCTGCACGCCGCTCCGCTGAGCCGATCCAGCGAGATCCTGCTCTGCTTCAGCCACACCGGGGTCTACGTGGACCACCAGGGCAGAAGGTCCCGGACCAGAGAACTCATGTGGGCAGGGACCCCCACGGCCTTCAGTGAGTCAGACCTGGGTTAGACCTGGTTTAGTCCTGGTTTAGTTCTGGTTTAGTCCTGGTTTAGACCTGGTTTAGTTCTGGTTTAGTCCTGGTTTAGTCCTGGTTTAGTTCTGGTTTAGTCCTGGTTTAGTCCTGGTTTAGTCCTGGTTTAGACCTGGTTTAGTCCTGGTTTAGATCTGGTTTAGTCCTGGTTTAGTCCTGGTTTAGACCTGGTTTAGAGACCTGGTTTAGTTCTGGATTAGTCCTGGTTTAGACCTGGTTTAGTCCTGGTTTAGACCTGGTTTAGACTGGTTTAGTTCTGGTTTATGTTCTGGTTTAGTCCTGGTTTAGACCTGGTTTAGTTCTGGTTTATTCTGGTTTAGACCTTGGTTTAGTTCTGGTTTAGTCTGGTTTAGTCCTGGTTTAGTTCCTGGTTTAGTTTAGTCCTGGTTTAGTTCTGGTTTAGTCTGGTTTAGTTCTGGTTTTAGTCCTGGTTTAGTTTAGACCTGGTTTAGTCCTGGTTTAGTCCTGGTTTAGTTTCTGGTTTAGTCCTGGTTTAGTTCTGGTTTAGTCCTGGTTTAGACCTGGTTTTACCTGGTTTAGTTTTCTGGTTTAGTCCTGGTTTAGACCTGGTTTAGACCTGGTTTAGTCCTGGTTTAGTCCTGGTTTAGTCCTGGTTTAGTCCTGGTTTAGACCTGGTTTAGACCTGGTTTAGTTCCTGGTTTAGACCTGGTTTAGTTCTGGTTTAGTCCTGGTTTAGACCTGGTTTAGACCTGGTTTAGTTCTGGTTTAGACCTGGTTTAGTCCTGGTTCTGGTTTAGTCCCTGGTTTAGTCCTGGTTTAGTCCTGGTTTAGACCTGGTTTAGACCTGGTTTAGTTCTGGTTCTGGTTTAGTCCTGGTTTAGACCTGGTTTAGACCTGGTTTAGTTTAGTCCTGGTTTAGTCCTGGTTTAGTCCTGGTTTAGTTCTGGTTTAGTCCTGGTTTAGACCTGGTTTAGACCTGGTTTAGTTCTGGTTTACCTGGTTTAGTTCTGGTTTAGTTCTGGTTTAGTCCTGGTTTAGTCCTGGTTTAGTTTAGTCCTGGTTTAGTCCTGGTTTAGTTTCTGGTTTAGTCCTGGTTTACCTGGTTTGTCCTGGTTTAGTCTGGTTTAGTTCTGGTTTAGTCCTGGTTTAGTCCTGGTTTAGTTCTGGTTTAGTCCTGGTTTAGTCCTGGTTTAGACCTGGTTTAGTTCTGGTTTAGTTCTGGTTTAGTTCTGGTTTAGTTCTGGTTTAGTCCTGGTTTAGTTCTGGTTTAGTCCTGGTTTAGACCTGGTTTATTTCTGGTTTAGTTCTGGTTTAGACCTGGTTTAGTCCTGGTTTAGTCCTGGTTTAGACCTGGTTTAGTTCTGGTTTAGTCCTGTTTAGTTTTAGTCCTGGTTTAGTCCTGGTTTAGTCTGGTTTAGTTCTGGTTTAGTTCTGGTTTAGTCCTGGTTTAGTTCTGGTTTAGTCCTGGTTTAGACCTGGTTTACTTCTGGTTTTTAGTTCTGGTTTAGACCGGGTTTAGTCCTGGTTTAGTCCTGGTTTAGTTCTGGTTTAGTCCTGGTTTAGTCCTGGTTTAGACCTGGTTTAGTCCTGGTTTAGTCCTGGTTTAGTCCTGGTTTCTGACCCTCGTGTCTCTTCAGGTTCCAGTTCGTCTCATCTCACCGTTTATTCCGATTACGGCGTCGACATCTACGACCTGCAGACCTCAGACTGGCTCCAGACCCTCCCCATCAGAAAGGTACTCAGACCTGGTCTAGTCCTGGTCTAGTCCTGGTCTAGTCCTGGTCTAGTCCTGGTCTCGTCCTGGTCTCGTCCTGGTCTAGTCCTGGTTCTAATTGTGGTTTTTTTCAGCTGCGTCCCTTAAACTCGGACGGATCGTTGAACCTGCTCAGCTCTGATCCTCCAAGACTCATCTACCTCCAGAAGACAGGTGAGACAGGTGAGACAGGTGAGACAGGTGAGACAGGTGAGACAGGTGAGACAGGTGAGACAGGTGAGACAGGGACAGGTGAGACAGGTGAGACAGGCGAGACAGGTGAGACAGGGGACAGGTGAGACAGGTGAGACAGGCGACAGGTGAGACAGGGGACAGGCGACAGGTGAGACAGGGTGAGACAGGTGACAGGGACAGGGACAGGTGACAGACAGGTGAGACAGGGGACAGACAGTGGACAGGGGACAGGTGAGACAGGGGACAGGTGAGACAGGTGACAGGTGAGACAGGGGACAGGTGAGACAGGGGACAGGCGACAGGTGAGGGGGGGCGACAGGTGAAGGGGGGCAGGTGCTAGAGAGGCGAGTTGCCGTGGTGACCAGTGTGTGTGTTGCAGAGGGAGGCGTCTGGGGAGAGGGAGAGCTGGCGTTGCCGGGGGTGACGGAGAGCAGCAGGAAACTGATGGTCCGAACACGAAGCAAAAGAAAATTTCTGTTTAAACTCCCCGAAGAAGAACGACAACAACAGAGAAGGTACGAATACTACGAATACTACAAGTACTACAAGTACTACAAGTACTACCAGTACTACCAGTACTACCAGTACTATCAGTACTATCAGTATAGCTGTAAATACTGTTAAACAAACAACACGGAACTTTACATTTTTAAAGGTGAAGTTGTGTGTTGGTCTCGTTTGCAGGTTTAATGTTTAAATGTGAATATTTATTTATGTGTTATATTGTGTATTTATTGTACACATTTGTGTACTTCTGTGTGTGTATTGTGTATTGTGTACTTGTGTGTATTTATTGTGTACTTGTGTGTGTATTGTGTATGTGTGTACTTGTGTATTTATTGTGTACTTGTGTGTACTATTGTGTACATGTGTGTATTTATTGTGTACTTGTGTGTACTTGTGTGTATTTATTGTGTACTTGTGTGTATTTATTGTGTACTTGTGTGTACTTGTGTGTATTTATTGTGTACTTGTGTGTACTTGTGTGTATTTATTGTGTACTTGTGTGTATTTATTGTGTACTTGTGTGTATTTATTGTGTACTTGTGTGTACTTGTGTGTATTTATTGTGTACTTGTGTGTATTTATTGTGTACTTGTGTGTACTTGTGTGTATTTATTGTGTACTTGTGTGTATTTATTGTGTACTTGTGTGTATTTATTGTGTACTTGTGTGTATTTATTGTGTACTTGTGTGTATTTATTGTGTACTTGTACTTGTGTGTTTCAGGGAGATGTTGAGGGACCCAGAGTTTCGTTCTAAAATGATCTCAGGACCCACAAACTTCAACCACATCTCACACATGGGACCAGGAGACGGCATGCAGATCCTCAGGGACCTGCCCATGGTGAGGGAGGACCTGACTGTGGTGAGGGAGGACCTGACTGTGGTGAGGGAGGACCTGACTGTGGTGAGGGAGGACCTGACTGTGGTGAGGAGGACCTGACTGTGGTGAGGGAGGACCTGACTGTGGTGAGGGGGGACCTGACTGTTGGTGAGGGAGGACCTGACTGGGTGGTGAGGGGGGACCTGACTGTGGTGAGGGGGGACCTGACTGTGGTGAGGGGGGACCTGACTGTGGTGAGGGGGGACCTGACTGTGGTGAGGGGGGACCTGACTGTGGTGAGGGGGGACCTGCCCGTGGTGAGGGAGGACCTGACTGTGGTGAGGAGGACCTGACTGTGGTGAGGGAGGACTGACTGTGGTGAGGGGGACCTGACTGTGGTGAGGAGGACCTGACTGTGGTGAGGGAGGACCTGACTGTGGTGAGGGAGGACCTGACTGTGGTGAGGGGGGACCTGACTGTGGTGAGGGGGGACCTGACTGTGGTGAGGGGGGACCCGGTGCTGAGTGACCCGGTGCTGAGTGACCCGGTGTTGTCGTCCGTGTGGTTGCAGAGCGTCTCTCCTCAGGACCAGGAGCCAGTGAGTCGCTCCAGACCTTTGTCCAGCATCAGTCGACACCAACAACAACAACAACAACAACCACGCAGCAAGAGCCACATCACCAGGACCGCCTCAGGTCATACACCTGTCACACACACCTGTCACACACACCTGTCACATACACCTGTCACACACACCTGTCACATACACCTGTCACACACACCTGTCACAACAACAACCACAACAACCACGCAGCAAGAGCCACATCACCAGGACAGCCTCAGGTCATACACCTGTCACACACACCTGTCACACACCTGTCACACACACCTGTCACATACACCTGTCACACATACACCTGTCACACCTGTACACCTGTCACACACCTGTCACACACCTGTACACCTGTCACACACCTGTCACATCACACCTGTCACATACACCTGTCACATACACCTGTCACATACACCTGTCACATACACCTGTCACATACACCTGTCACATGATGTCATCTCTGTTTGCTCCAGCGTCTGCGTGACCATATAAGGTCGTTCCTCACATGTCTCATCTCTTGTCTCTGATTGGTTTAGATTTCGGAGGCGGAGTTTCTTCTCGGCTGGACTTGGACCCTGACCTGGAGGTGAGACTTTCCCGAGGATCATAACCGGATTACGTCGGGTCTTAAACTGGATCCGGTTCTGACGGTTTCTTCTTTGTTTCAGGACTCGGACTCGTTCAAACTGTCGTCCAACAGCTCCAACCCGAGCAGCCCGCCGTCGCCCACGTCGCCCCACCGCACGCCCGACCTCGACCTGGACCTCACCCAGACCCACTTCAGCTGAAACCGGCTCTGGACCGGCTCTGGACCGGCTCCGGACCCGGGGCTAGACCAGACTCTGTTTGGTCTTAAAGCAGGACTCTGGTTCAGTTCTGGGCCCAGTTTGTTTCTAAAACACTAAACCGTGACCCGACTCTGGAGGAGGCCGCGGGTTTAACTTTGTTCTGAATCTTTTTTTTTTTTCGTTGTATCGACTTTTCTGGTTTGAAACGTTCTGAAGCTGCTGAAGGATCCTGTGCAAATACGTTTATCTTTAAATGAAACACTTTATACATTTTACGCAGCGAGACGCGCGGCGGACATTTTGTGCCAGTGCAGCCGCCGCTACAAAATGGCTGCCGACGTTTGTGTAAAAAAATGAGACGTTTTATGATTTTATGGTTTTATGATTTTATGATTTGATGCTTTTATTTGTGCTGCTGACGATGGGAACACTTTATCTGTGGAGAAAACACTGTAACGACTCTCACACTACTGCTCTGGTGGAATCACGAGAATAAAATATCTTTGTAATTATGAACGTCCATGTTAAGAATAAAATCATGTCAAAACACTAAACGCCGCTCCAGTTTACAGGCTTTTTCTACTCCACCTAACCACGCCCACATGAGTTAAACCACACCCACACATGATTTAGGCTCCTCCCACCTCCAAAACCACACCCACACATGATTTAGGCTCCTCCCACCTCCAAAACCACACCCACACATGAGATTTAGACTCCTCCCACTTCCAAAACCACACCCATTTGAGTTAGACCACACCCACACGAGAGTTAAACGGTGCCCACACGAGTTTTTGACTCCTCCCACCTCCAAAAAAACACGCCCACACGAGATTTAGGCTCCTCCCACATGAAATTTAGACCCCGCCCACCTCCAAAACCACACCCACATGAGATGTAGGCTCCTCCCACATGAAATTTAGACCCCTCCCACCTCCAAAACCACACCCACACGAGATTTAGGCTCCTCCCACATGAAATTTAGACCCTTCCCACCTCCAAAACCATGCCCACACGTGATATAAGCTCCTCCCACATATTTCGATTTCTCCCACCTCCAAAACCACACCCACACAACATTTATGCCCCTCCCACATGAAATTTAGACCCTTCCCACCTCCAAAACCACGCCCACACGTGATTTAGGCGCCTCCCACATGAAATTTAGACCCTTCCCACCTCCAAAACCACGCCCACACGTGATTTAAGCTCCTCCCACATGATATTTCGATTTCTCCCACCTCCAAAACCACACCCACACAACATTTATGCCCCTCCCACATGAGATTTAGACTCCTCCCACTTCTAAAACCACACCCACTCGACCCAGGAGAGATCACTAGATTACTGGACCGGGTCTGGACCAGGACTCGTCTTTGTGTGTGTGGAGAAGCAGGGAGCCACTGTTGTCGTTCTGATCGTCGCTGAAGGTTCTCCGATGTTCTCATAAAAAACTGTGTCCACCTGAAACACGAGTCAGATGCCCTCCCACCTGCAGCTCTGTGTCGGACCAACCGTCAGGAGCAGGACCCCTGCACCTGCACCTGTCCCTGCACCTGTCACTCTGAGACCCTGTCACTTTCCCTCCATTTTCCAAACACGTTTCAGAAAAATGTAGAGGAAAAAAAAAAGTAAAAGTTCAAAGATCAACAAATGAATTTTTATTTCACTTCAGTCGTTTATTTTCAGTTTTTATAAAGAAAAAAGGATCAAATATCCAGTCGAAAAACTCTGAAAAACGGCAAAAAAAACGGCACGACATGGTGACGTTTTAGCTGCGCTTCAGTTCCGTTTGTATTTCAGTTCCGTTTGCGCTTCAGCTCCGTTTGGGCTTCAGTTCCGTTTGCGCTTCAGTTCCGTTTGGGCTTCAGCTCCGTTTGGGCTTCAGCTCCGTTTGGGCTTCAGCTCCGTTTGTGTTTCAGTTCCGTTTGCTTCAGTTCCGTTTGGGCTTCAGTTCCGTTTGTGCTTCAGTTCCGTTTGCGTTTCAGTTCCGTTTGCGCTTCAGTTCCGTTTGGGCTTCAGCTCCGTTTGGGCTTCAGCTCCGTTTGCGCTTCAGCTCCGTTTGGGCTTCAGTTCCGTTTGTATTTCAGTTCCGTTTGGGCTTCAGCTCCGTGAGGGCGGCGGCCATTTTGTCGTCGAACCACTTCACTTTGATCCTGGAGAAGAACGCCGCGCTCTGATTGGTCGATCCCTGCGGCGAGGGGCGGGTCTCCTCCACGCCGCGTTTGATCTGACGAATCGAGGCAGCTGATTGGCCGCTTTTCACGAAGAGGAGTCTGGAGACGTGCGCGGCGCTGAAGGAGACGAGGACAGAGGAGATGAGGACAGAGGAGACGAGGACAGAGGAGACGAGGAGAGAGGAGACGAGGAGAGAGGAGACGAGGACAGAGGAGACGAGGACAGAGGAGACGAGGACAGAGGAGACGAGGACAGAGGAGACGAGGACAGAGGAGACGAGGACAGAGGAGACGAGGAGAGGAGACGAGGAGAGGAGACGAGGAGAGAGGAGACGAGGAGAGGAGACGAGAAGAGGAGACAAGGAGAGAGGAAACGAGGAGAGGAGATGAGGAGAGAGGAGACAAGGTGAGGAGACAAGAGAGGAGACGAGGAGCGAGGAGACAAGGAGAGGAGACAAGGTGAGGAGACAAGGAGAGAGGAGACAAGGAGAGAGGAGACGAGGAGAAAGGAGAGGAGAGAGGAGACAAGGAGAGAGGAGACAAGGAGAGAGGAGACAAGGAGAGGAGACAAGGAGAGAGCAGAGAAGATGAGGAGAGAGGACACGAGGAGAGGAGACGAGGAGAGAGGAGATGAGGACAGAGGTTTTTAGTAAAGATCTAAACCAGAACTAAACCAGGATTTTGCTGTGAAAACCAGATCACTAAACCCCGTGTGTGTGTCAGGTCCCTCCCCGTGTGTGTGTCAGGTCCCTCCCCGTGTGTGTGTCAGGTCCCTCCCCGTGTGTGTGTCAGGTCCCTCCCCGTGTGTGTGTCAGGTCCGTGTGGTGTCTCTCCCGTGTCCGTGTGTGTGTCAGGGCCCTCCCCGTGTGGTGTCAGGTCCTCCGTGTGTGTGTCAGGTCCCTCCCCGTGTGTGTGTCAGGTCCCTCCCCGTGTGTGTGTCAGGTCCCTCCCCGTGTGTGTGTGTCAGGTCCCTCCCCGTGTGTGTGTCAGGTCCCTCGAGTACCTCAGATCGGGGCAGGTCCGGACCAGAGAGACCAGTTCGAGTTGGATCAGGTCTGGATCCTGGAGCCTGAGGACTTCAGAGACCTGGACCAGGATCTGGGTGGTCCTGTCACAAGCCCCGCCCTGAAACACACAGGTGACAGGTGACAGGTGAGGCAGGTGAGGCAGGTGAGGCAGGTGAGGCGTCAGGAGCAGGAGGCCCAAAGTGGAGGATTGTTCTAAATCTTATATTAAACCAGGACTGAACCAGGACTAAACCAGGACTAAACCAGGACTGAACCAGGACTGAACCAGGACTGAACCAGGACTGAACCAGGACTGAACCAGGACGGGAGGGCATCTGGGTCTCACCTGAGCTGTGAAAAAGTTGTGCAGGTTGTGGGCGTCGGCCTTCATCTGTCTGGCCCCGCCCTCCTGCTCCTCCTGACTCCGCCTCCTCGACTTCAGCAGATTTTTCACAAAACGCAGCGCCACCTCCTGGTGCAGGCGAGTCAGCACCGCCTGAAAACACAACCAGGACTAGACCAGGACTAGACCAGGACTAGACCAGGACTAGACCAGGACTAGACCAGGACTAGAACCAGGACTAGAGCAGGACTAGACCAGGTCCTGGCGACAGGTGTTACCTGGCGACAGGTGGGCTTGAGGTCCTGCAGTTGGTCCAGTTCAGGAATCAGAAAGTCCAGGAGTGAGTCCAGGACTGGGAGAGTCCCACAGACCCAGGCCGGAGTCCAGAGTCCGGACAGGAGCGGCTGAAAGCAGAGGGGTGGGGCTTAAGGGGGCGGGGCTTAAGGGCAGGGCTGTTATGGGCGGAGTCTTACCTATTTTATCTAAACTTTAATCCAAACTCTGGATCTCTGCGCTCTCCTGAGAGGAGCTGCTCTGAGCTGTGATTGGTCAGACTCACCTTGAGCTGTGATTGGTCAGACTCACCTTGAGCTGTGATTGGTCAGACTCACCTTGAGCTGTGATTGGACGGTGCCGGTCAGACTACAGTACCCACAATCCCTCAGGGCAGAGAGCGACTCCAGACACCTGCGCCTCAGAGCAACGTCCACGACACGAGTCTGAACCAGAGACCTGAAAGAAACACGACGAGAGAAGAAATGTGGTTTTATTTATGTTTTTATTTTACACTGTTTTTCACAGACGAATGTCACAAAGACTTTATCTGTGTGTGTGTGTGTGTGTGTGTGTGTGTGTGTGTGTGTGTGTGTGTGTGTGTGTGTCTGTGTGTGTGTGTGTGTGTGTGTGTGTGTGTCTGTGTGTGTGTATGTGTCTGTGTGTGTGTGTCTGTCTGTCTGTGTGTGTGTGTGTGTGTGTGTGTGTGTGTGTGTGTCTGTGTGTGTGTGTGTGTGTGTGTGTCTGTGTGTGTGTGTGTGTGTGTGTGTGTCTGTGTGTGTGTATGTGTGTGTGTGTCTGTGTGTGTGTGTGTGTCTGTGTGTGTGTGTGTGTGTGTGTGTGTGTGTGTGTGTGTGTGTGTCTGTGTGTGTGTGTGTCTGTGTGTGTCTGTGTGTGTGTGTGTGTGTGTCTGTGTGTGTGTGTGTCTGTGTGTGTGTGTGTGTGTGTGTCTGTGTGTCTGTCTGTGTGTGTGTGTCTGTGTGTCTGTGTGTGTGTGTGTGTGTGTGTGTGTGTGTGTGTGTGTGTCTGTGTGTCTGTGTCTGTGTGTGTGTCTGTGTGTGTGTGTGTGTGTGTGTGTGTGTGTCTGACCTGAGTTGTTCCTCACAGACGAGTTGAGCTTTCACAATAGATGCTCGGTTCCTCCGGTTCTCCTTCAGGAACTCCTCCAGAGAACGTGTGTATCTACAACACACACACACACACACACACACACACACACACACACACACACACACACACACACACACACACACACACACACAGACACAGACACACACACACACACAGACACACACACACACACACACACAGACACACACACACACAGACACACACACACAGACACACACACACACAGACACACACAGACACACACACACACACACAGACACACACAGACACACACACACACACAGACACACACACACACACACACACACACACACACACACAGACACACACACACACACACACACACAGACACACACACACACAGACACACACACACACACACACACAGACACACACACACACACACACACACACAGACACACACACAGACACAGACACACACACAGACACACACACACACAGACACAGACACACACACACAGACACACAGACACAGACACACACACACACACAACACAGACACAGACACACACACACACACACACCTGATCTCACCCTTTAACATCACAATAACTTTAACACTGTGAGAGGGAAAAAGACTCACCTGCTGAGGAAAACTGGGACCTCCAACCAGATCTGGGTCTCACTCTGGTCCGGTCCCTGGTCCGGTCCCTGGTCCGGTCCCTGGTCCGGTCCCTGGTCCGGTCCCTGGTCCGGTCCCTGGTCCGGTCTCACACACTTCAGCTCCTGCAGGGCTCCGTCGATCACCTGAAACACCCCAGAGAAGAGTCTGTGTCACACTTTGTCAAAAACAGTTTGATGATGGAGCATGTTCTTCTGACCTGGATGACCTCCAGAGCCACAGGACTGAAGCAGAACCCATCGATCTCCTCAGACCCAGAGCCCGACCTCCAGGACTCCTCCTCCTTCAGAAGAATGTTCCCCAACCACTGACGCACCCGACCCTGAGGACCACAACCCACATCTGAGGACCACAAACACATCTGAGGACCACAACCCACATCTGAGGACCACAACCCACATCTGAGGACCACAACTCACATCTGAGGACCACAACCACATCTGAGGACCACAACCCACATCTGAGGACCACAACCCACATCTGAGGACCACAACCCACATCTGAGGACCACAACCCACATCTGAGGACCACAACCAACATCTGAGGACCACAACCCACATCTGAGGAACACAACCCACATCTGAGGACCACACACTGAGGACACCCACATCTGAGGACCACAACCCACATCTGAGGAACCACACTCAACATCTGAGGACCACAACCCACATCTGAGGACCACAACCCACATCTGAGGACCACAATCCACATCTGAGGACACAGGAACACAATCCACATCTGAGGACCACAACCACACATCTGAGGACCACAACCCACATCTGAGGAACACAACCACACATCTGAGGACCACAACCACATCTGAGGACCACAACCCACATCTGAGGACCACAACCCACATCTGAGGACCACAATCAACATCTGAGGACCACAACACCACATCTGAGGACCACAACAAACATCTGAGGACCACAACCCACATCTGAGGAACACAATCAACATCTGAGGACCACAACCCACATCTGAGGACCACAACCCACATCTGAGGACCACAATCAACATCTGAGGACCACAACCCACATCTGAGGACCACAACCCACATCTGAGGACCACAATCAACATCTGAGGACCACAACGAACATCTGAGGACCACAACAAACATCTGAGGACCACAACGGACATCTGAGGACCACAACCCACATCTGAGGACCACAACCAACCTCTGAGGACCACAACCAACATCTGAGGACCACAACTAAACATCTGAGGACCACAATCAACATCTGAGGACCACAACCAACATCTGAGGACCACAACTAAACATCTGAGGACCACAACTAACATCTGAGGACCACAACCAACATCTGAGGACCACAACTAACATCTGAGGACCACAACCAACCTCTGAGGACCACAACCAACATCAGAGGACCACAACTAAACCGGCTGTAGACCGGTCTGTACCTGGGTGGACTCCTGGTGCTGGTCTTGGATCTTCTTGAGGACCACGGGACTCAGTAAAGGTCCGAGGTCTGAGGTCCTGATCCGGTCTTTGAGTTCAGGATGAAGAAGAATCTCCCTGAAAGTTTAAAGATTCTGTGAGGAGAAGGTTTCGAGGTTTTGCAGAAGCTCCTCGGATCCTAAAACTTCTGGAATCATAAATTTAAAAAAGCGAATCGTCTGAAGACCCCGCCCCTCTCACCGTCGGTAGCTGTGATTGGTCCAGAGCAGCAGGTAGGCGCGGTCGTCGTCCGATGAGGCGTCGGCGAGCTCCTGGAGGCGGAGTCTGAGGCTGTTGTGGTAAAGCTTCAGGAAGCGGTTCAGGATGTCCATGTGACCCGGATACGCCCGGACCACGGAACGAGACAGGAGCAGGAGGTCTCCGAGGAGAACCTGAGCGAGTCTGAGCACCTGAGAGGAGCAGAGGAGAACGTCAGAGAGGAGAACGTCAGAGGAACAGAGGAGAACGTCAGAGGAGCAGAGGAGAACGTCAGAGGAGCAGAGGAGAACGTCAGAGGAGAACGTCAGAGGGGAACGTCAGAGGAACAGAGGAGAACGTCAGAGGAACAGAGGAGAACGTCAGAGGAGAAGGTCAGAGGAACAGAGGAGAACGTCAGAGGAGCAGAGGAGAACGTCAGAGGAGAAGGTCGGAGGAACAGAGGAGAAGGTCAGAGAAGAACGTCAGAGGAGCAGAGGAGAACGTCAGAGGAGAACGTCAGCGGAACAGAGGAGGTCAGAGAAGAACGTCAAAGGAGAACATCAGAGGAGAACGTCAGAGGAGCAGAGGAGAACGTCAGACGAAAATGTCAGAGGAGAAGGTCAGAGGAGAACGTCAGAGGAGCAGAAGACTCACCTCCTGTTTGACGGTGGAGGTCCGTGAGGTCTGGTCCTGGTCCGGTTCTGGGTCTCGGGTCTTGGGTTTGAGTCTGGACCGGACCATCTGCTCCAGGAGTTTGTCGTGGTTCTGTAAAGTCCGACTCGGTCTCCAAACCGGGACCAGGTCTGGAGGAAAGTCCAACCAGGCCCGGTCCAAGTCCTCCTGGTCCAGAACACAGACCAGAGCCTCACGGAGCGAGTCTGGTCACACGGACTCAAGTCAGGACTAGACCTGGACTAAACCAGGACTAACCCAGAACTAAACCAGGACTAAACCAGAAATGAACCGGGACTAAACTAAACCAGGACTAAACCAGGACTAAACCAGGTCTAGACCAGTACCTGGGCTGAAGTCCTCAGAGAAGATCTTGTGGACTTGGATCCTGATTTGGACCCAGAGTTTCTCCAGGTCCGTGTGGAGCTGGTCCTGGTCCTGCTCTGAAAGTCCAGACTCCATCATCTTCTGCTCCCTGAGGACCAACGCCCGACCCAGAGACCTGAGACCAAGACCCGGGTCCAGACCGGGTCCAGACCCGGGTCCAGACCTGAGTCCGGACCCGGGTCTGGACCAGGAGCCAGAGGAGGGTCTACAGAGGCTGAAGAAAAACACAGAGGAGGATCATAACCGGTCTACAGGAGGATCATAACCGGTCTACAGGAGGATCATAACCGGTCTACAGGAGGATCATAACCGGTCTACAGGAGGATCATAACCGGTCTACAGGAGGATCATAACCGGTCTACAGGAGGATCATAACCGGTCTACACGAGGATCATAACCGGTCTACAGGAGGATCATAACCGGTCTACACGAGGATCATAACCGGTCTACAGGAGGATCATAACCGGTCTACACGAGGATCATAACCGGTCTACACGAGGATCATAACCGGTCTACAGGAGGATCATAACCGGTCTACAGGAGGATCATAACCGGTCTACAGGAGGATCATAACCGGTCTACAGGAGGATCATAACCGGTCTACAGGAGGAGGATCATAACCGGTCTAGGATCATAACCGGTCTAGGATCATAACCGGTCTAGGATACCGGTCTACAGGAGGATCATAACCGGTCTACAGGAGGATCATAACCGGTCTACAGGAGGATCATAACCGGTCTACAGGAGGATCATAACCGGTCTACAGGAGGATCATAACCGGTCTACAGGAGGATCATAACCGGTCTACAGGAGGATCTGGTTTTACCTCGGGGAGGGTTTTTGTTTCGTCCGATCTTCAGCTTCAGCTTCAGTTTGTTCTTGTTTGGATCTGAAACATTTACAGAACTGAACCAGGACTAAACCAGGACTAAAACCAGGACTAAACCAGGACTAAACCAGGTCTAAACCAGGACTAGACAGGACTAAACCAGGACCAAACCAGGACTAAAACCAGGAACTAAACCCAGGTCTAAACCAGGACTAAACCAGGACTAAACCAGGACTAAACCAGGACTAAACCAGGACTAAAACCAGGACTAAACCAGGACTAGGACCAAACTGAACCAGGACTAAACCAGGAACTAAAACCAGGTAAAACTAAAACCAGGACTAAACCAGGACTAAAGGACTAAACCAGGACTAAACCAGGTCTAAAACCAGGACTAAACCAGGACTAAACCAGGACTAAACCAGGACTAAACCAGGACTAAACCAGGACTAAACCAGGACTAAACCAGGACTAAAACCAGGAACCAGGACTAAAGGACTAAACCAGGACCAAAACCAGGACTAAAACCAGGACTAAACCAGGACTAACCAGGACTAAACCAGGACTAAACAGACAGACTAAACCAGGTCTAAACCAGGAACTAAAAGGACTAAACCAGGACTAACAGGACTAAACCAGGACCAAAACCAGGAACTAAACCAGGTCTAAACCAGGACTAAACCAGACTAAACCAGAACTAAACCAGAACTGAACCAGGACTAAACCAGGACTAAACCAGAACTAAACCAGGACTAGACCAGGACTAACCAGGACTAAACCAGGACTAAACCAGGACTAAACCAGGACTAAACCAGAACTAAACCAGGTCTTACCTTCCATGGCGGTAAATGAAACCAGAGAAGGGGGCGGGGCTTCACCTGAGACACCTGTCCGTCACCTGACCCGATGACGTCATCAGCCGCTCCGCGACAAACGGCACGAGACTCACGTTCAGAACGAGTTTCATTTAAAGAGACGGAGCCAAAAAGAAAAAGAGGAAGAGTCCGAGCGACAGGAACTAAACGTATAAAACCTGTGAATCTGTTTTGAGCGAATAAAACATTTACAAAACATTTAAAGAAACGTGAAGCTCTGAAAATGAGGCGAGTTCCAGAGAAAAACGCAGGTAAATACTTGTGTTTAAAACCTCAGACGACACACGCTTCATTTTCTCTTTTTATGTCCTACAAATATTTTACATAAACTCCAGAGTCACACAGAAAATGAACAGGATTTTTTAACAAACAAAATAGCAAAAAAAAAAAAAAAAAAAAAAGTAGTTTAGTCTGTGGGTTTGATGTTTGTTGTGGTGAATAATATTGAACAAATATTTGATTGAACGAACACGAGCGTCTCTAAGTTTATAACAGAAGAAAAATCAGAACATTAAATCAAGTTCAAATTTCAATAATTAAATGAATTAAAGTTTGAGAGTTTTTATAAGACGAGGAAACAGTCGTGATCCACAGACACAGATCCACCCACGAGTCAAAAAGAATCAAACTGAATCAAACTCTTGAACTGAGACGTGACGTTCAGATCTGACGAGGTGAGAGTCACAAGAAAATCAAACAGCAGGAGAATCGTCATAGAAACACTCTGTGATGTCACAGCCGCGATGACATCATCCGTATGTCCCGCCCCGCGATGACATCACACACAAACTCACACACAAACACACGTACACACACACACACACACACACACACACACAGGACACAGGTTTATTCATTTATTTAAAAAAATGTCATCACATTGGGGTCAGGTTGGGGTCAGAGGTCACGGTGGGGTCACGGTGGGGTCACAGGTCAGGGGTCACAGGTCAGGCACTGTACAGCTGACCGTTGGCGCGACGTCTTTTCCGACTTTGCTGCTGCTCGAAAAACTGTCGGATGTCGTCTGGAGTCACCACCTGAAACAACGTCCAGTGACGTCATCAACGGGCGACATCATCATGAGAGCGTCAAACCATTAAACAGTGACTCAGACGAATCACACTGTGCACTGACTTTATGTTTTTAATAATTAATTTAGATTTCTGGAATAATTAAATAAAACCATTTTAAAGCTAAACTGCTGTGATTTTTGCTTTTCATAAAGAAAAGTGTGAGCTCCTGGTCAGGGTTAAAGTTCACGACCGAACGTCTAAACCAGGTGCAGAACCAGGTTAAAGGCCCAGGTCATTGTAAACCGCTTGACTAAACCGGATAAACCAGGACTAACCTCTCTCAGGTCTAGGACTAAACCAGGTCTCCAGGACTAAACCAGGAGGTCTAAACCACTAAACCAGGACTAAACCAGGCTAAACCAGGACTCTAACCACTAAACCAGGACTAAACCAGGACTAAACCAGGACTAAACCAGGACTAAACCAGGTCTAAACCAGGACTAAACCAGGTCTAAACCAGGACTAAACCAGGTCTAAACCAGGACTAAACCAGGACTAAACCAGGTCTAAACCAGGACTAAACCAGGAGGTCTAAACCAGGACTAAACCAGGTCTAAACCAGGTCTAAACCAGGACTAAACCAGGTCTAAACCAGGACCAGGTCTAAAACCAGGACTAAACCAGGACTAAACCAGGACTAAACCAGGTAACCAGGTCTAAACCAGGACTAAACCTAAACCAGGACTAAACCAGGTCTAAACCAGGTCTAAACCAGGTCTAACCAGGTCTAAACCAGGTCTAAACCAGGTAACCAGGACTAAACCAGGTCTAAACCAGGACTAAACCAGGAACCAGGTCTAAACCAGGTCTAAACCAGGTCTAAACCAGGTCTAAACCAGGACTAAACCAGGTCAGTGGATGATACATTATGTGAGTATATATATATATATATATATATATTATATATGATTCTAATATTCTGTAACATGATATAATAATATTATATTTCTTATATCTTTGTGTGACGTGATCTGGTGTGATTTTCTTTGTGTGATTTGGTCGTGTGAGTCGGACCTTTCCTTCTGAAGCGAATCTCTGCAGAAAATCCTTCAACTCTGTCTTCAGGTCGTTGTACTCTGAAAAACACACGAGACTCAACCAGGACCGAAACAAGACCAGAGACCAGGACCAGGACCAGGACCAAGACCAGGACCAGGACCACCAAGACCAGGACCAGGACCACAGGACCACCAGGACCACCAGACCAGGACCACCAGACCAGGACCAAGACCAGGACCAGGACCAGGACCAGACCAGGGACCAGGACCAGGACCAGGACCAGGACCAAGACCAGGACCAGGACCAAGGACCAGGGACCAGGACCAAGACCAGGACCAGGGACCAGGACCAGGACCAGGACCCACCAGGACCAGGACCAGGACCAGGACCAGGACCAGGACCAGGACCAGGACCAGGACCAGGACCAGGACCAGACCAGGACCAGGACCAGGACCAGGACCAGGACCAGGACCAAGACCAGGACCAGGACCAGGACCAGACCAGGACCAGGACCAGGACCAGGACCAGGACCAAGACCAGGACCAGGACCAGACCAGGACCAAGACCAAGACCAGGACCAAGACCAGGACCAGGACCAAGACCAGGACCAGGACCAGGACCAGGACCAGGACCAGGACCAGGACCAGGACCAGGACCAGGACCAGGACCAGGACCAGGACCAGGACCAGGACCAGGACCAGGACCAGGACCAGGACCAGGACCAGTGGAGGACTTTACCGTGGATGAGCTCGAGTTGTTGGACTCGGTTGAGTCGGTCGAGCGCTGACATCAGCGGGTCTGCTGCGCTCTCATTGGTCCGTTCGAGGCTCTTTCCCTTTGTCTCATAGGCCAGAACTGTGTCCCCCTCGTCCAATAGGAAGAGAGACCCCGCCTCCGACAACAACGTCTGAACAAACCACAAAAACAAGAAAAAAATAAAGAATCGTATCGTCTTTATTACTCTTGGTATCGGAATCGGTATCGAGTCTGTTTAGTCTCAAAATCCAGTTTAAAGATTTAATATCATGATGACAGGAGCAGACAGGAGCAGACAGGGGCAGACAGGGGCAGACAGGGGCAGACAGGAGCAGACAGGGGCAGACAGGGGCAGACAGGGCAGACAGGGCAGACAGGACAGACAGAGCAGCAGACAGGGGCAGACAGGAGCAGACAGGAGCAGACACAGACAGGAGCAGACAGGGCAGACAGGACAGCAGACAGGGGCAGACAGGAGCAGACAGGGCAGACAGGGGCAGACAGGGGCAGACAGGAGCAGACAGGGAGCAGACACAGACAGGAGCAGACAGGGGCAGACACAGACAGGAGCAGACAGGGGCAGACAGGAGCAGACACAGGAGCAGACAGGGGCAGACACAGACAGGAGCAGACAGGGGCAGTACCTGACAGTCTTGGCAGGTGCAGAGGCGGGACCTCCAGCCTGAGGGCCAGAACGTCGCTCCTGATTGGCTCCTGCTCTGACCAATCAGCTGCAGCTCCTTCAGACGACACGCCCCTTTAGGCTCCTCCTCTTTTAGCCCCGCCCCCTCCTTCAGCCCCGCCTCCTTTAGCTCCGCCCCCTCCTCCGCCTTCACCTCTGGCTCCTCCTGGTGACGAGGACGTTTGCAGCTCGGCTCCTCATCAGGCTGAAAAACAACAACAAGACTCCAGAACTAAACCAGGACTGAACCAGGACTGAACCAGGACTGAACCAGGACTGAACCAGGACTGAACCAGGACTTAAGCTGAGACACACCTCCTGTTTGGGATCTTCTTTGGGCTGATCCGGACCAGGTTTAACCTCAGGGTCTGAAACTACATTCAACACAGTTAGACCAGGACTAAAAACAGGACTAAACCAGGTCTAAATCAGGTCTAAACCAGGACTTGCCTGTGATCTGGGCGGCGTAGGTCCAGAGGAACTGGTTGTGGTTCATGCAGGACTCACAGATCATCTCCTGAAGCTCCACAGAGTCTGGGACCGGAGCTCCAAGGTGCTGCAGACAGAAGGAAACCAGATCTAAACCAGGTCTAAACCAGGTCTAAACCAGGTCTAAACCAGGTCTAAACCAGGTCTAAACCAGGTCTGACAGGTGGGTGAGTTGTTGGGACACTGACCCGTCCGTGGAGCCAGTCCTCACAGATCACACACTGGATCATCTGGTCCTCCACCTGCAACAACACAAACACAACACACAATATAACACACAACACACACTTATACAACACACAACACACAGCACGTCCTCGGGGTCGGGGTAGGGTCCTGTCCTGGTTTAGTCCTGGTTTAGTACTGGTTTAGTCCTGGTTTAGTCCTGGTTTAGTACTGGTTTAGTCCTGGTTTAGTCCTGGTTTAGTCTGGTTTAAGTACTGGTTTTAGTCCTGGTTTAGTCCTGGTTTAGTACTGGTTTAGTCCTGTTAGTTTTAGTCCTGGTTTAGTCCTGGTTTAGTCCTGGTTTAGTACTGGTTTAGTACTGGTTTAGTCCTGGTTTTAGTCCTGGTTTAGTCCTCACCTGGTCCTCGGGTTTAGTCGGGGTAGGTTTAGTCCTGGTTTAGTCCTGGTTTAGTCCTGGTTTAGTCCTGGTTTAGTCCTGGTTTAGTACTGGTTTAGTACTGGTTTAGTCCTGGTTTAGTCCTGGTTTAGTCCTGGTTTAGTACTGGTTTAGTCCTGGTTTAGTCCTGGTTTAGTCCTCACCTGGTCCTCGGGGTCGGGGTAGGGTCCTGTCCTGGTTTAGTCCTGGTTTAGTCCTGGTTTAGTCCTGGTTTAGTCCTGGTTTAGTCCTGGTTTAGTCCTGGTTTAGTCCTGGTTTAGTCCTGGTTTAGTCCTGGTTTAGTCCTGGTTTAGTCCTGGTTTAGTCCTCACCTGGTCCTCGGGGTCGGGGTAGGGTCCTGTCCTGGTTTAGTCCTGGTTTAGTCCTGGTTTAGTCCTGGTTTAGTCCTGGTTTAGTCCTCACCTGGTCCTCGGGGTCGGGGTAGGGTCCTGTCCTGGTTTAGTCCTGGTTTAGTCCTGGTTTAGTTCTGGTTTAGTTCTGGTTTAGTCCTGGTTTAGTCCTCACCTGGTCCTCGGGGTCGGGGTAGGTTTAGTCCTGGTTTAGTCCTGGTTTAGTCCTGGTTTAGTCCTGGTTTAGTCCTCACCTGGTCCTCGGGTCGGGGTAGGGTCCTGTCCTGGTTTAGTCCTGGTTTAGTCCTGTTTAGTCCTGGTCCTGGTTTAGTCCTGGTTTAGTCCTGGTTTAGTCCTCACCTGGTCCTCGGGGTCGGGGTAGGGTCCTGTCCTGGTTTAGTCCTGGTTTAGTCCTGGTTTAGTCCTCACCTGGTCCGGGGTCGGGGTCTGGGTCCTAGTCCTGGTTTAGTCCTGGTTAGTCCTGGTTTAGTCCTGGTTTAGTCCTGGTTTAGTCCTGGTTTAGTCCTGGTTTAGTCCTCACCTGGTCCTCGGGGTCGGGGTAGGGTAGGGTCCTAGTCCTGGTTTAGTCCTGGTTTAGTCCTGGTTTAGTCCTGGTTTAGTCCTGGTTTAGTCCTGGTTTAGTCCTCACCTGGTCCTCGGGGTCGGGGTAGGGTAGGGTCCTGTCCTGGTTTAGTCCTGGTTTAGTCCTGGTTTAGTCCTCACCTGGTCCTCGGGGTCGGGGTAGGGTCCTGTCCTGGTTTAGTCCTGGTTTAGTCCTGGTTTAGTCCTGGTTTAGTCCTCACCTGGTCCTCGGGGTCGGGGTAGGGTCCTGTCCTGGTTTAGTCCTGGTTTAGTCCTGGTTTAGTCCTGGTTTAGTCCTCACCTGGTCCTCGGGGTCGGGGTAGGGTCCTGTCCTGGTTTAGTCCTGGTTTAGTCCTGGTTTAGTCCTGGTTTAGTCCTGGTTTAGTCCTGGTTTAGTCCTGGTTTAGTCCTCACCTGGTCCTCGGGGTCGGGGTAGGGTCCTGTCCTGGTTTAGTCCTGGTTTAGTCCTGGTTTAGTCCTGGTTTAGTCCTGGTTTAGTCCTCACCTGGTCCTCGGGGTCGGGGTAGGGGCGGCTGCAGGTGCAGTAAAGTCCAAAGAAGTTGTGGCTGTATTTGTTGTCAGAGTTCACTTCCTCTTTGTCCTGAAACAGAGGATCATGGGAAATGTAGTTTTAAACCAGAGACGCCACAACTCAACCCAAAGACAATGCACAAACGTCCACCGAAAGTAGTAGTAGTAGTAGTAGTAGTAGTAGTAGTAGTAGTAGTAGTAGTAGTAGTAGTACTTGTACTTGTACTCACAGGGTTCAGTTTGCAGGTGACGTCTTTAAACTTGGAGTTTCCACAGTCACAGCGAAAGTTTCTGAAATACAAATAATTTTATTTCACAGGCGTACTACTACTCCTACTACTACTACTACTACTACTACTCCTACTACTACTACTACTACTACTACTACTACTACTACTACTACTACTACTACTCCTACTCCTACTACTACTACTACTACTACTCCTACTCCTACTACTCCTACTCCTACTACTACTACTACTACTACTACTACTACTACTACTACTCCTACTACTACTCCTACTCCTGCAGTATTTGCTGTAGGATTCGCAGTAGAACATACTCAGCTGGTGGTCTTTGTGACATCTGTGTGCAACAGTATTTGTAGTATTCACAGTAGTTGTAGTACTTGTAGTAGTATTTGCAGTAGTTGTATTTGCAGTAGTATTTGCAGTAGTAGTATTTGCAGTAGTATTTGTAGTAGTAGTATTTGTAGTACTTGTACGTACCTCTTGGTGTAGAGCTCGTACAGCTGGTGTCCTTCGTGACATTTGTATGAACAGGCCAAACAGACTCCTGCTGCAGCGCCTCCTGGAGGACAACACGTCCCACACGCATACAACGCCTGACGCTTCACGTACAGAGAACAGAGAACAGAGAACAGAGAGAGAACAGAGAGAACAGAGAGAACAGAGAACAGAGAGAACAGAGAACAGAGAGAACAGAGAGAACAGAGAGAACAGAGAGAACAGAGAGAACAGAGAACAGAGAGAACAGAGAGAACAGAGAACAGAGAGAGAACAGAGAGAACAGAGAGAACAGAGAGAACAGAGAACAGAGAGAACAGAGAACAGAGAGAACAGAGAACAGAGAACAGAGAGAACAGAGAGAACAGAGAACAGAGAGAACAGAGAACAGGGGAGAAGAGGTCAGAGGTCAAAGACAACACCACATAAAGAATGACTCAAATCTGTTTACTCCAATACTGATCAATAACACATCTGTACTATACTACAGAGTACTACAGAGTACTACAGAGTACTACAGACTACTACAGAGTACTACAGAGTACTACAGAGTACTACAGACTACTACAGAGTACTACAGAGTACTACAGAGTACTACAGAGTACTACAGAGTACTACAGAGTACTACAGAGTACTACAGAGTACTACAGAGTACTACAGTGTACGTGCAGTAGAGGGAGGGGCTCTTATCTCCACACACTGGCGTCTCTGGTGTTTCAGTTTGATCCTGATACAAACCAGAGCCTCGTGTGTGAAGTTTGTCAGTTTGTCCGGAACAAACAAGAGCAGAGTTTAATAATCCCTACAACTCAGACCCTGAGGAGGAAACAACGACCGGACTCTTCCTCAGATGCTCACAACCATTTGGTTTAATGAAGCTCTGGGACTAGTCCGAGTCTGAGGCCCGAGTCTGAGGCCCGAGTCTGAGGCCCGAGTCTGAGGCCGAGTCTGAGGCCCGAGTCTGAGGCCCGAGTCCGTGACCAGAGTCCGTGACCAGAGTCCGTGACCAGAGTCCGTGACCAGAGTCCGTGACCAGAGTCTGTGCACGACACGAAGCCACAGGTCGAATCTGACCCCAACTCAAAATATTCTCTACATTTTATTTTAACAGGAGCTTTTTGAAAATGGGAGCCTGAACTGAAGGACCCAAGACCCAAAATCCAGACCCAGGTCCTTTAGTCCCGGTTTAGTCCCGGTTTAATCCCGGTTTAGTCCCGGTTTAGTACCTGGTTTAGTACCTGGTTTAGTACCTGGTTTAGTACCGTGTTTAGTCCTGGTTTAGTCCTGGTTTAGTACCTGGTTTAGTCCTGGTTTAATTCCTGGTTTAGTCCTGATTTAGTACCTGGTTTAGTCTTGGTTTAGTTCCTGGTTTTGTCCGTGTTTAGTCCGTGTTTAGTCCTGGTTTAGTCCTGGTTTAGTTCCTGGTTTAGTTCCTGGTTTAGTTCCGGGTTTTGTCCGGGTTTTGTCCGGGTTTTGTCCGGGTTTTGTCCGGGTTTAGTCCTGGTTTAGTTCCTGGTTTAGTTCCTGGTTTAGTTCCGTGTTTAGTCCGTGTTTAGTCCTGGTTTTGTCCGGGTTTTGTCCGGGTTTAGTCCGTGTTTAGTCCTGGTTTTGTCCGGGTTAGGCCGGGTTTAGTCCGGGTTTAGTCCGGGTTTAGTCCTGGTTTTGTCCTGGTTTTGTCCGTGTTTAGTCCGTGTTTAGTCCGTTTAGTCCGTGTTTAGTCCTGGTTTTGTCCGGGTTTTAGTCCGGGTTTAGTCCGGGTTTAGTCCGGGTTTAGTCCTGGTTTAGTACCTGGTTTAGTACCTGGTTTAGTACCTGGTTTTAGTCCGGGTTTAGTCCTGGTTTTAGTACCTGGTTTAGTACCTGGTTTAAGTACCTGGTTTAGTCCGGGTTTAGTCCTGGTTTAGTCCTGGTTTAGTACCTGGTTTAGTACCTGGTTTAGTACCTGGTTTAGTCCTGGTTTTAGTCCTGGTTTTAGTCCTGGTTTAGTCCTGGTTTAGTCCTGGTTTAGTCCTGGTTTAGTCCTGGTTTAGTACCTGGTTTATCCTGGTTAGTCCTGGTTTGGTCCTGGTTTAGTCCTGGTTTAGTACCTGGTTTAGTCCTGGTTTACCTGGTTAGTAGTCCTGGTTTAGTCCTGGTTTAGTCCTGTTTAGTCCTGGTTTAGTCCTGGTTTGTCCGGTTTACCTGGTTTTGTCCGGGTTTAGTCCTGGTTTAGTCCTGTCCTGGTTTAGTTCTGGTTTAGTTCCGTGTTTAGTCCGGTTTAGTCCTGGTTTAGTCCGGTTTAGTCCTGGTTTTAGTCCTGGTTTAGTCCTGGTTAGTCCCTGGTTTAGTCCGGTTTAGTCCTGGTTTTGTCCGGGTTTAGTCCTGGTTTTTTACCTGTTTAGTCCTGGTTTTATTTAGTCCTGGTTTAGTCCTGGTTTAGTGTTTAGTCCGGTCCGGTTTAGTCCTGGTTTAGTCCTGGTTTAGTCCTGGTTTAGTACCTGGTTTAGTCCTGGTTTAGTCCTGGTTTAGTCCTGGTTTAGTCCTGGTTTAGTCCTGGTTTAGTCCTGGTTTAGTACCTGGTTTAGTACCTGGTTTAGTCCTGGTTTAGTCCTGGTTTAGTCCTGGTTTAGTCCTGGTTTAGTACCTGGTTTAGTCCTGGTTTAGTACCTGGTTTAGTCCTGGTTTAGTCCTGGTTTAGTACCTGGTTTAGTACCTGGTTTAGTCCTGGTTTAGTCCTGGTTTAGTACCTGGTTTAGTACCTGGTTTAGTCCTGGTTTAGTCCTGGTTTAGTACCTGGTTTGGTCCTGGTTTAGTCCTGGTTTAGTCCTGGTTTTTGGTCCTGGTTTAGTCCTGGTTTAGTACCTGGCTGTAGGAGCAGTGCTCGGCGTCGCTGGCTCCTAAAACAGCACTGGCCTCTTCCTCCAGCTCCTCGTCTTCCTCCAGGACGTCCACGAGGGAAACCACAGGCTCCTCCCCCTCCATCTGTCAATCATCAATCAATCAATCACCAACAACCAATCACCACTGATCATCACCACAGGCCCCTCCCCCCAATCATCAATAATCAATAATCAGTAACACATACAGTTTAGACCAGGTTTTGACCTGGTTCAGTCCTGGTTCAGTCCTGGTTTAGACCTGGTTCAGTCCTGGTTCAGTCCTGGTTTAGTCCTGGTTTAGATCTGGTTTAGTCCTGGTTTAGTCCTGGTTTAGACCTGGTTTAGACCTGGTTTAGTCCTGGTTAGTCCTGGTTTAGACCTGGTTTAGTCCTGGTTTAGTCCTGGTTTAGTCCTGGTTTAGTCCTGGTTTAGACCTGGTTTAGTCCTGGTTTAGTTTCCTGGTTTAGATCTGGTTTAGACCTGGTTTAGTCCTGGTTTAGTCCTGGTTTTAGACCTGGTTTCAGTCCTGGTTCAGTCCTGGTTTAGACCTGGTTTAGACCTGGTTTAGACCTGGTTTAGACCTGGTTTAGACCTGGTTCAGTCCTGGTTTAGACCTGGTTTAGACCTGGTTTAGACCTGGTTCAGACCTGGTTCAGTCCTGGTTTAGACCTGGTTTAGTCCTCGTTTAGTCCTGGTTCTGGTTCAGACCTGGTTCAGTTTATTCCTGGTTCTGGTTCAGACCTGGTTCAGTTTAGTCCTGG